TCTGAGTCGAGATTTAACTTATCCTGATCTAAAATATCCATCAAAGTCGTCATTTCGATGTCTAGGAAACTTGAATCATTTAACACCTCTCGAGTAAATGAAGAAATTAGCTGGATAAGTTGGAGAGAGGACATACAAACATCAACTTTAGCTAAATCACAATTTTACTTACCTCCATACTTCTTTGCACAAGACGGGGCTCCTCGAATAACTTAGCAAACTCGTATGCACGACACGCGTTCCTTGGGCTTAAATCAGACCACAAGAACTGGGTACATTGTTCAACTACATGAGGAAGCATATACTTTTTCGCCACGTAACACAATTCGCAGGCTTTATCGAATGAAGTTATATTGATACGATCCGAATAAATGTATTCCATCATCGATTGAAATGCGTCTGGCTGTACATCTGGTATGATAATGGGATCGGATTTATCCGCCATTTGACCAAAAAACATACATTCAAAGACTGGAGAAGCCATAGCTAATATGAGTTTGTGGCCAGCGATGATGTGTTGATTCGGCGGAGTTCCAACCAAGAAACGGCAATCGGACCATTTTTCTGTCTGCAGTAAGTGGGCACCGCGCTCTTTAATTTCATGAAACTCATCTTGCCAATCAAACTCCATTTTACGTCTTTTCCTTATTTTCGCAATTTTTAACCAATTTTCTTCTCTTTTTTTTTTTTTTTGACAGAAACTAAAACTTTCCTGCAAAAGAGTATTTTTTCCTTAATGCGTTGTTGATTTTTGCTATCTTTTTGGCAGGATTGTCAAACTCTTTCAAGAGGATACTTCTGAGTAGATTCACAGCAATTAAGATATTTGCCAAAGACACTAAAGAATATTATTTATCGCCCACATATACGTTTGATAAAACTAATTGTTAATAATATAAATTCTCCTTTATTTATTTATTTCATAATAATAATAAATCTTGATAACATTATGTTGACAGCACTTTGACAACTCTGGTTGCAGTATATGAATTTCAAAAGCTTACCTTTTAAATCATTCGTGAATCGACCTAATAAATGAATTTATTGACTTTGCTTTCACGTCGTTTAATTGCTCATAATAAAGGGTAAGTAAGAACTCCGATTAAATAATTTTCAAAAAAGTTGCCAATAATTTTCAAAAAAAATTTTCTTTAGCTTTAATACCATTCCCCGTGTACAAAAAGTGGGAATGTCTAGTGAAGTTGATAAGGCACAAAAGGCAGGGCCGGTTGGAGATACCATTTTTGGTAAGATCCTTCGCAAAGAAATTCCATGTGAATTTATTCACGAAGATAAGAAATGTGTGGCTTTCCACGATATCAATCCTCAAGCTCCTACTCATTTTTTGGTAATACCGCGAAAGCCAATCACGATGTTATCAGATGTCGAAGACGACGATGAAGATTTACTCGGTCATTTGATGTTAGTTGGCAGTAGAGTTGCCAAAAAGTTGGGTCTGGATAATGGCTATCGTGTAGTAATTAATAATGGGAAGGACGGCGCTCAGTCTGTATATCACTTGCACTTGCACTTTCTAGGAGGTCGCCAAATGAAATGGCCTCCAGGCTAAGTGACCTTTCCCTGCAGTTCATTCAAACAAACCTCTTTAATGTTTGAATTTCTTTATATTAAATAAACATACAACTTTTGATGCGATTATCGTTATTTTCTTATCAATTAAATAGGAGGGTATGGTAGCTATTGCAGATTAAGAGGGTCGATTAAAACATTTGTTGTAGGAGAGGTGTTTGGCGATATTAAACGGGAAGAATATTGGCCCTTCATTTCAAACTGTTGCATATTGCTAGTTGAATCGCTAAAGGAAGCTGGAGATGTTTGGTGACGCCTTCTATCAAAGGCTGACGATGATCCAAAAAAGCCGCAATCGCGGGAGTGCTGTTTCTTTTCGATCACCCGATCAAAGAAACGTGCTAGTTTCACAGCGTCCGTCGTCCCGGCAGCTATGCTACGTGGATCACGGCAATTTAGCCATATTTCTTCCGCCCCACATTGCTCAGCTGAAAGAAAACTTTATTTAGTGTCCATTGGAATATCTATCGTTGTTTTAAAAGCAAAAAGCTGTACTGATCCTTGAAAAAGTACACTTATATATTTACTTTTACCTATACCGCCCGCCTTTTGTACCGTTTTTGGGTGACGCTTTTCATCGACTAAATCCAGTTTTGTACCAACTACTAGTATGGGTATTTGCGTGGCGCCTATAAATTCCTCAGGATCGAAACCATTAGATTCGGTAGTGATTCCACCCATCACAGAACTAGATTTGTATGTGTTTTTACCATCTTTGCTTAAAATTTCGTATAACCAATCACGTAGATTTCCATGACTTTTGCGATTTGTTAAATCGTGAACCAATATTATGCCATGTATTGCTGTATAAAAAACGTTACGAGAGTTTTTATGACTTAATGAGCCGCCAATATCAAACAGTTCAATGAAATATAATTTTTGCTGAGACGTTCCTTCTTTATATTCGTGCAATTTAACTTCTATGTTACAGCCTACGGTCCAGCCGGGGCGATTTAGACATTCGTTGTGCGCTATCAAATGAGTGAAGCAGGTTTTACCAACTCCTGCCAAAAAAATTTAAAGAAGCTAATTGGGTAAATTGATAATCGTTGATGAATCGTTACCTGAATCACCAACCAATATAATACGGACTTTGTCGATTGTATTAGCCATTACTACGCTCTATTCCCTTATAAACAACAATTAACAGATATCATATACAGATGCTTAACATTATATACGTGATGACGTAAATAAATGGATGTGATTGTTAAATATTTGATGCAATTTGAGCACGTTCCTTAAAATGTTGTAATTTCAAACGCACGTCTTCTTCAAGCTTATGTTCTTGATTCACTGACATTCTAATATGCGAAGGACAATCCAAATTAATTCATCATTTGCCCTGCCTTACATATTATTAATCCTTCTGCTTACATAGATTTGTTAATAAATTGTGTACAAGTTACATATACCATAGAAGCACAATTCACTACGAATTTTACAGAAGCGGGTACATTTTGTACTATTCCATGAATTTTTATTTAATACTTTGTTATAAATTTTTAGCAATTTTATCATACATTAGCAGCAAATCTATTTTGTATAGATTGTAGAAATTTAATAGGTAAAAAAAGCAATTAATTTCATATAAGCAAGTTCACAATGAACACAAAAATTCTTCTTCTTAAACGATTCGTTGTGTTGTAAAAAAAAGATAGCCACAATGTGCATATGAGACTTTTTTTTGTGGGTCTTTTTAAAAGTTACTTTGGTTTTGGGTTGTTTTATTTATTTATCTATAAAGTGTATAGTTACATTCCAAAATTTAACAAGGAAAAGAAAAAATATTCAAAGTTACCCCTATCGTGCTATTATCAGAAGGAAATACATGGATTTAATAACAAACCAAAGGAAAACGAAAGAGGGACGATATTAAAATATTATAATATTTATATACGTATTTAAGAATTGATAATTAATAAATAAATTTGACCACTAATTAACCCATATAATGCGTTTAATGCGACATGTTGGCAATCAGATCTACGATCAAATAAATTGCAATAATCCTTAAATATTTGTCATAGTTCACCAAATGGTGTGTGGCCGATGGACAATTTTCGCGTCTTCCTATGCATATATAGTCTATATAATATTTGAAAATATTGATATTACCATTAATATAAAGAAGTTAGTAAGCATTGTGAATTATTAAGTGCCTGCTATCTATTACTAACAAATGTGAGCCCATCGATGCTATAATCGGGAAAGAATAAACTTGATTTTGTGGACTGAATCCGAATCTTGCGCAAACCAAGACTATGAGCTGACATTAAGATATTGCATCTTGTTTGCAATTATGGTAGGTCGATAAGTTTAAGTTTGTCCTCATATGGGGACTCTAATAAGTCGTTGTGTGAGTTGTAAGTTGGTGATCACCGAATGTACTAATACAGGTCTGACGAGCGAGGTAAATGGGCGTTAATGAAATTCCTTAGCTGAACGTTTCCTAAGGTCCAAAAACGATTTCGCCTTATTAGCGCAGGCATTAATATATAGTTGAAATCGCAATTTGAGATCCAATAAAACGCCAAGGCAACGAAAGAACTACAAATCAACCAGCTTGTAGTCATCAATAGTATATTACGAAAGCAAGTGGTTACGCCAAGCAAATGAAAGCTTTTTGCATTTTTTTAGATTAAATAACTTGCCGTTCGTGGTATACCAACCTTTCAATGTAGTTAAGTCCAATTGAAGAAGTCCATTGAAGGTGACAGAAGTTTGAAAAGGGCATTGAAGTGGAGCATAGGCATTTACATCAAGCGACTTCGGAATCGAAATATGATGTGGTGTAGGCGACGGGGGACCCCATGTTACACTGCAAGTTTGCGTAATGATTGACCTGACACTTTAAGTAAATATTTTCATCAAATAATATTTGTCGGTTAGTGCCGAGAGCTGTTTCCCAATTTCTGTAAATCACGTTTTGGCTTGCACGCGGAGATGTAGAAATCAATGTCACGCCTTCTACAATTTGAATAGGTCCTATCTATTTATATATGTATTTTTTGGATGAACGTCGTTTTTTAATATATTCGTACGGCTTTCCTTTTCTTTTTTAAAGGAATAAATAACTTTATTATGTAACGTTGTAAAATCTCACAAGATCTACCGAAACAGTGCCTACCTGAAATTATGAATCAAGAGAACTATGAAACTTGGCAATATTGTTGTGACAAGTAATTTATATACAAATGTAAATGTGTTTTTTTTTTTCTTTTTTTTTTTGAGGATATATATGTGCAGTGTACTACGTAAAGAGGCAACCGGCAAAAATTATAATATTTCATATAAGAAATAATAAAATTGACCCCATGTCTCATAATGAAATCATGTAAATAATATAATTGGTTTCCAATATTCCAAGCCAAAGTGGGATAAATCGAGATGAGGATAGGTCTCAACACTGGCCAGAGTGGGTTTATTGAGCCATACACAATAAACAATCTGGACTCCAGTGTTGTTTAGACCCCTAATTTATAGGAATTGTCTAACTCTCTGGAGGGTGTGGATTACGCTTAAATAACCTGTGTGCCTTGAGCCATTGCGGGGTTAAGCCATCATGGCAGGTACCCATGCTAAAGCATTGGCGCGATCTGTATTGAATGAAAACTATTTTAACTCTACTTGGTTAGTTTTTGTCGGATGTAGGGTAAAACCCCGGGGTATGTTACACACGAAGGAAGCACGACAAATAGTATACGTTGATGGATTAACAAAGAGGTTTATATTTACTGTATTATTAAAGCGTTTCATTGCAATAATCAATTATTTCGCGTAGTATCCATAAAAAAAAAGACGCTAAAGTACTTGAAGTTTATAAATAGGAGTGTTTCATGCCTTCAACCAAAAGAATGAAAGCGTATTTACTATAAAAATTCCATTTTATGATTGAATCCATTAAATGCGTATTTCGTCCTTTCCAATGTGAATTTATGGCATTTTCTCTATATTTTCTCTCTCTCATGATTTGAATAAAAATTTAGTTCTAATATATGATATGAAAAACGTTGAACGGAGAACCCGTAGCAGATTTGCGTATAATAATCTAAAGGAGCCTTTTACAATTTTGTAGTTATTCGTTAATGATTCAAACTAAATCTGCAAATATTCAATATCAAAAATGAATTAAATGAATACATAAAAAAATATGCAAGGTAAAATTAAAAAAAAAAAAATGAGTCTTTATAAGATTTTTGTTCGTGTTATGAGGAAGATGGTTAAGTCTTCCAAAAAAAAAAATTAATATAACTCAATTTATAACAAATTTGATGTTTATTTTAAACATGTTAAGCGAGTTTAGAAACACATTTTGAGATCTTAAAATAAATTTATAAATGTTGCACAAACGTTCCTCTCGAGTTAATGTTTTAGTTTAATATGTCAAAGGGGGGAAGGGAGGAGACGACTTCGTGCTTTCTAAAATAAAACGTTTAAAAAAAAAAAAAAAAAAAAAGTCCGTTTTCTACGATCTTAATCGGCAAAAGAGTAGATGAAACTATTAATGCTTATTTTCAAGTTTAAAATTTTTGCATTGGTATTTCTATATTATATATATATGTTTACACCCAGTTAGGTGTATGTTATGTTCCTGTTAAGAGTGGCGTTGTTTCACCAACATTTGACGTAAGAACGGTCTCAGATGGTTTATTAGTTGATTCAATAGTGGCTGCATTGATTGGTTGTTCAGACTTTTGCTGAAATTAAAAATAAAAAAAAAAAAAAAAAAACCTTTCATATAATTAACACACTTTACATAATTTAAGCACACAATTATATATAAAATTAAATAACGCCGCGTTCTTTGATAATATTTTTATATTTTTGAACAGGTGACAGCAAACAGCAAACTTATACAAAAGTTTGGAGATTTGTCGGGAACTTGAATAAAAATATAAAACAATTTGACATGCAACTCAATAGTGAATAAGTGCCGAAGGCATACTTCCATAAATCGCTTAATACTTATTATTATTAATACTTATTTATTAAGTTTGATATTTAAATACTCTAAAGAGTAAATAAAAATTAAAACCTATACCAAAAAAGCAGTCTAATAATCTACTCGGTAAGTCAATATCGTACGAGCATTACCTTTCTGTTATGAATTTCGTGTAAATACAAGGTACTTAAACACATATCTGCAATTGTTAGATCACTAGGACTGTGCTCCCAAAGTGATTCAGGTCCATAGAGGCTGTAACGAAAATGTTCATTCAATTTACTCTGCACAAGCTTATAGGTATGACTGTCAAATACGTAATGTATTTGATATTCTATGCTTACCTGTGCAAAAGAGATTGTGATGGCCCTTCTAGTCGGCCTTCTAATTTACTTGTGCGAAGTTTTTTCATATCATTTCTTCCAAAAGAAGAATTTAATGCCTTAACTGACTTGCTCCTCATTCTTTCGTTGCATTGGGACTTTTCGCCAAGATTTTGTTGGAGCATTTGTTCGAAATGGTCTTGACGTTGTGCGTGATTTATGTCATAAACTCTTTCATTAAAGCATTCATTGTTTTCTCTAATATTGCATCGCTCTAACAAAGATCTCGCCACAGACGAATACTAAATAGAGATGAGATGAAAAAATAATGTAACATATTATATAATTGTTCGTTCAAATCGCTATATTATTTCCTACAATGACAATGTTATGGAGTTATGTCTAAGACTGAGAAAAGTTTCGCTATTATTGTCATTCATTAGTGACGTATATTATAGACTATGGTGGGCCACCGACAGCCATTAACAGCCATCACTCTACAGCTGCTCATATAATAGCTTTTCAAAATAAGGAGTTATATGGGAAGTGCTTTAAAACGTAGTCCGATTCGAAATATTTTTAATGCATTCGTCCTTGAGTCAGAATAGCTCAGCGTAACAAGCTTCATCATAATATCGCAAAAATTGCGGCGAACAGGTTGAATGAAAGAAAACGAAACGTATCGACAGACAGACAGACAAGCTTAGACCGATTTAGAAAATGATTTTGAATTGAGCGATTCTGGGTGTTGTTATATCCGTCTATACCCTTATAACACAGATCGTTTGGGGCTTTGGGGGTAAAATGTATGTTAAAGAAATTTTAGATATAAACTCAATAATGTAATAAAATAAGTTAAGGTTTTACAGTTTTTGGAAATAATACACAAAATTATTTTATATATAGTAAAATTTACCTCATCTCCCATCGTACCAAAAGAAATTAAACTTTCTGTTAAGGCATTTAAACGAAAGTCTTTAGTTTTCGCTTTACTTAATTCGGCGATAGCATTCTCCCGAATTCCATTTACAAAATTAATAGCTTCGGATGGCATTTGCCAATCAGGATTTGTCAAAGTGAATCGAAGTAATGAAAGTTCAATTTTGCCGTTATTCGGACAGCAACTAATTTGATTTTCATTGTTGTCATCAGCGTTATTATTGAAAACGCTGTTATCTAATTGCCATTCCGGATTTCCATACTTTCGAACATCCATTTGAGCAAATGAGCAGACATTTCCAACACCCCTAACGAAGACAGTAAAACTTCTGAAGAATTTTACAATTTCGAGAGCTTTCGGTCGAAAAACAAATAATAACAAGAAGGGAGTTATCAAAGGACTAAATATTTCATACAAGACGTAGTTCTGCAAGAAGAAGAGATGATATAAATTAAAAAATTTAATATGAAGTGCATTCTACTTTTATTTAGATGATAATTACCGCTTTGAATTGAAAGAAATATCCGAATTCTTTTTGAACGAGTGTTGTGTGTGACTTATTTTTCCAAGAACTTGGAAGGTAATGAACATGTGCCAAAATCGCTGTCATTAACTGCTCGGGGCACCAAATTAAATTATCATCTGGTATTAGACTCCTAAAAGTAATGAAATGTGAATATTTATGATAAAACGTAACACTATTCCAAATGAATTACAAGAAGACGCGGTTTCTATCGCTAATGTCTTGGAAATTTTCCTAAAACCCCTTAACAACAACAAAATACAAATGCGAAGAGGCATACCCAACATTAAATTTCCCTATAATATAACACTCTCGTAACATAACAGTAGCACACACACCAGTAAGTAATTCTCTGAGATATGTATCATTGTATTAGTTCATTTTCACGTCAACATAGCAAGTGTGGTTAGCCGACAGCTATAAAAAGCGCGCGCAATCGCAAATCTTTCTTTAGTTGCTCCGCGATAGCCAAGTGAAAGATAAATCTTCTTATTTCGTTCAGAATGTTGATGGTAAGCACCTGCAACAGGTCTTGCATAATCATCTTTCGGCCTGAAGGATAATACTTTAGTTTTCATGTTGATTTAGATCCGTAAAATACCGTATGATGATCTAGTCCCTATTCAGGGCGAGGACAGTGAGGTAATGTATTCTGTTATAGGTATTGTCTCGTTAATCCTCACCCTCGGGATAGGAGAATTGGGTTTATTCCGACGAATCATTCATTAGCTCCATGAACTTCATCATATAGCGCTCTAGTTTTAGTTCTCCCTAGTAATTTGAATTTGTGATCGCCGATTCCAATTTTTCCAAAAGACGTTTAATTATTCGCTTACTACAATCGAAGGTGAATTGCGATAGAGAATTTAAATACTTTTTAAACCGCGCTTCGAGCTTATTTATGTTGATTTATATTTAAAACGTAAATTAAAAATATACGCCATGACATAACCTTAAAGAATGCAAAGGTAGTGGGAAGATTGAATGAGCGAAAGAAAAATTGAAAGCCGGCGCTTATCATAACTTTTCCTTTGGAACTTGCGAGGGAGTCTAAATTACTCGCGGAAAAATTCCGGATTTTAAATTATACATTACTTATAAATCCATTATTTTAAAATCTATTTAAGATAGTTTGAAATTTTCAAATAATTGTTCATTTAATTGACACTTACCTACAAATTAGTCCAATTGCTGACAAGACGGTTATTAATGTTACGACATGTTCAATTTGGAAAACAAATTCGTTGTATATTCCTAAAGCCAACACTACAACGAGGAGTCCACCGCTTATAAATAAAATATTTCTGAAAATAAATTACTGATTTTTACATTTTTACTCTTCTCAAGGCTTAACATAAACACATATAGATGTATATATACATATATATATATATCTGGCTGTCCAAAAGTTAATTATGTCAAAATGATGAACGTAAGCCAACATGGTAAAGTAAAAAACTGAACATTTATAAATCGAATTTGGAAAGCAGTCGGACCCGCTAATAACTGTTCAATATTCGCCTTTAAACGAATATATGTTTCTTGTTGTTTTGTTTCGAAAAACCTTCAAAACGTAAATGTAAATGCGTATTCAACAGTCAATAATGTATGTAATACATCCATAAATTAGGCAAACGATTACTTACCTAGCAAATACTGCCAATAATGGCGATGAAAATGAGCTTAAGTACTTATCGGCATATTCATAAGCTCGGTTCAAACGGGCGTCTAACTCATGATCAAGCTCGTTGAAATGTCTGAGATATAAACGACCATAATTAGACCATGTTCGCATCCCCAAGGCGCCAGGTTCTTTTTTAAGAATCTAAAACAGAAGTTTGAAATGAAAAAAAAAAAAAGAAAAAAAAAAAACAATTTGAAATATCTTCTATCTAAATGAATAAGTATTTCTTTATGGTTAAGTTAATAAAATATTTTTTTCTTTTGCTATTGTCATAACACTAACTCTAAACCTTTCCAACCACTTATTATAACAGACACAAAGATCACAGGCTTTATAAAATTGGATGTTGTGGTTGAAAAAAAACAAAAATATATATTAAAGAGCGAACGTGGAGTACATATTGTTTAGGACAATAGTCTAAATCGATTTACTTCGTTTGTTCTTAGAATTACGGATTCGAAAAAAACTTACATTTGCGTATGTAAAGGAAAAATATATTATTTGCCAGATGAATATCAATGGTGAGAATATAAGATTAGCTAATGCCACCCATAATATTAGCTTGGACAAACGCTTAGCCAGGTCAACTTGATTTCCTCGAATATTATAGTCATCTCTTAATTGCCAATTGTTTTGAAAAGGTGATCCAGGACTTCCTGAAATTATATACTATTGTGAAAATATTTAACAACTAAGTCAACATGAACTTACGAAAAAGAATCAAATCAATGTTAAACAATAATCCCCTACTCAGACCAACCACTTCTCCGAATAAAGGTATATTAAATTTCGCAGGTAATAAATTCTTGTTCATTAAAGCCACCATATAATTTTTAAACCTGAAAATTCCGGCAAAAAATTACACAAATATAGTACAGATTTAACTCGTCGAACAGTACTACTTTCTCATATGTTTAAGCACTTTCAAATAAAGTACCTTAATATTCGATGATATATATCCAAATCGGTTAAATGATCCTTATCAATACACATATTTTGTTCCGCTTGCACCTCGCGTACCTTTTTCTTTACTTCATACCATGTTATATTATCTAAATCGCTCTGCAAAAGTATTTTCTATTAAATACATTTGTGCTTTCTTACAAAAGAAGCAATCATACTTACATCGCCTATATTAAGGGCTGTGTTATAAAACTTTTTGATGTCCCAGTATTGTGTTATATTAAAAAAAAATTTGACAGTTCGAATAAAGAAATAAAGAGCCGAAATAATCAAGATTAAATACGTCATACTACCGAAGCTCTCTAGGCACTTGTCCACAGGATATATTACATCGTTTATAGCAACCCTTGAATGATTATTTGGCGGCGGAACATTTCTAAAAAAAAAAAAAAAAAAAAAAAAGGAAAAAGATGAGTTTATACATGAAATATTGTTTATTCGCGTTCCATGGTCTATGTTCCAGATGAACACAGATTTCATCGTTTCTTAAGCAAAATTAGTCTTTCAATCTTCTAAAATTAGCCTTTCAAGAAGTTTTTAACCTCTTCAACTGAATGTAAAATAACATCCTTCATAACACAACGTACGTTTCTTTTCTTAAACCTAATTCAAATATATTCTTACAAATATAGTCAATAAAAAATATTCTTTTTTAAACGAATATTTAACTTTTCCGCTTAAACATTTGCCAGCCACACAAAAAGTCGCATCTTTAAATTAGACTATGCAAATCTCTTGCGTAGGGGTAATCTAAATTAATTAATTTGTTTGTTGTTGGTTTCCTAAGTTTCAAACTCATCCAGGAAAAGGAAAATGCATGGGTCACAGAGCTCCTTAAAGTAAAGATGTCCACGGTTTAATATATTTTTTTTTTATTGTACATATACTTATATATAACTCCCACGTATATTATCAGGGTATTATTTTTGCTTCTGTTTAAAAAACAAAAAAAAATAAACATTTGTTCTTTACTTATTACACTACTGGCTGCTATCCGCGTTAAGTGAAATTAATTTGAATATTTCTCGCGTCTTGCATTTTAGTCTTTGTATTCAGTCCTATATTGAAAAACTTACCCGAAAAGCATGTCGTGGTTTAAACAATTTGCAGTAAACACAAGCAGCCATATCACAAACGTAAAGACAAATAACTGGAATATTTCATCAACTAGGATAACAGAAAAACCATGCTTTTGATGATATTGATACATTTTTGTAAAAAATGAATCTAAATCCTGTATGTGGTTCCATCGCGCTGTAAAAAAGAAAAAATTATGCCATCATTCGCTCAAGGCTAGCTCATGAAAAATATCTATCCGCCTTAAAGCAAATCTAAAAATAATCATTTATATTATACCTTAAAAAAAAAAATACAAGGAAATTTATATTATTTTATGGATTTCACATCTAAAATACAAAATGGCTCTTTTCAGATGTTTTTAAAAGCAACCTATATGCCAGGCACGTGAAACTTCTGGACCACGATGTCCTCGGGTACGGCCCGCTGCGTTTAGAATGTCAAAAAGTTCAATTTTCTCGCACATAGTTATTAGTGTAGCTGCAAATTTGATGCAGAATGCCGCATTTTCAACAATAGTTGGACCCGTGATATGGGAATTACAATTGGCACGTCGAAGATTAAAGTTGCCCACCCCTGATGTAGACGTAACCACGCTCGCAAAATTATTCTTCTTTTATTTTTCTCTAAGACGGCCCTCTTTAGCGTGGCGCTAAAGGGCATGACAACTTTGCATCTAGAGCAAGGGCAGACAATGACAGTTTTGTAAATATACATGACTTAAATCAGAAGTCCATCTAAACATGTCCAAAAACTCCTTGATCCGCTCCTCTATGGTGGCACACACCGTTGATGTTAAATCGATCCCCTGCACTGCAGTACAAAAATATTTGCTTTAAAAACCGTGTGATCACTAAATCAGAAATTGAAGGTAAAACGACGATGAGAACGATGAGATTATGCCTCGTACATGACAGCGCACAATTACATGCTACTGGAGCACCGATTGAATGAAAGCTTCAAATTCTTGAATGGAAACCATCTGTTCAACGTAGTCTTCAGGTGTTATCACTATTGATAAGGAATATTTTGTTAGTTTTAAAAGAAAACCACTTTTTTCTCATAAGAAATGCAATTCTTGTTCGAAGAATTTGTAAAGATTATGGTTAATAATGGCCAATACCACAACCTTTCGTATAGCTGCGAATTAGACGCTGCTTAAATAAGCATGAAAATTCGTTTTAGTATTTACTTAATATATTACCAGTGAAATGACGAAAATAGTTAATTCGCTGTAACTACGTTTCTTTGCGAAGTACATTGGTAAATAATTGGTATTTTATGAATCTACAAAGCATTAATGAACAGTCAGTAATACTGATTGAAAATAACGAAAATTATTGGGAGATATAAGTGGGCACGAAATAATGTTTCTGACAGGTTAACATTGTTTTTAATTGTAGAACGAAGGTTACAAAAAACGACCTGCAACAGGAAGGTAACAAGACATCAAATGAATACGTGCAAACTCACTTTTGTTTTTTTCTGGCACCGTGTGTACCAAAACTCCACTATTTCTGGGAGTGTCTTCAACTTCATAAGACGTTTCCAGCTCATGGATATTAATCACAGTCGTATTTTCCTCGTTTAAGGATCTATAATTTATTTGTGTAGCACTCATTATTAATATATATATAATCTGCTCTCTTCTGCAAAAGAAAAACAAAAAACTTATTAATACAGGAATTAATAAAGATTTAAAATATTTAAATCATACGCATTTTAGCAATACCTGAGTAGACTGGGTAGAATAACAAATAAGCTTTATTGCAGTAAAACGGTGGAAATTAAATCTTAAAGACATTGAATATAATTTTCATGGCTTATAATGTTGATTGTGAAAGCAATCGATATTATATTAGATGACACCTGAATATGAAATATAGCACAAAAATTTAGAAGTTTTAAAGTATTAAACGCACCTTTTAATTTAAACACTAGATTAAATTGACCATAAAGGATCGCAATTCGAAATTTGTTCGTATATATGTATTAATGTATGTATTCTTAAAACAGTTTAACAACAATTTATTCGAATTTATATTCTACGCAGTACTCAGAAAACACATACTTTGCGTTTTGGATTTATTTACGAAGGTTAGCATAGGATCCAAATGAATTTCTGCATAATAACAAATATTCAGTTTGTTTTGTCACTTTTGTCAACATATATAATTATTATGCAGATTATTTCTAAATATATATATATATATATATATATGTATATATATAATATATATAAATATATCATATATATATATCATACATATACATATTTATACCTAAAATTTATTTAAACTTTCTTTGTTCGGTTTTAATTTTATATAGACACTACAGCTGATAATGCAATGACGCCAAGTTGAAAAATTTTTAGAGATGTGCATACGCATTATTATTGTTACTATCGATAAACCGATTACAACGGGGATTTACGTGCTTATATAAGCTTCACAATTTCGTCGGATACTCTTACGTATTTTCCATAAAAAGCAAAAGGAATTATAATAAATGCGCCAGCATCGGTTGAGTCCATCGGATCTATAGTGTATAGAAAGTAAAGCAAAAAGCATAAATTGTACTCAGCGGCAACGTTTCAAACTTTGGTGACATTTCACTAAGAAACGAATAAAAAATATTTGTTGTCATTTTGTTTTCATAATCGTTCCGGCCTTACACGACATTTGACGCATACTTTTGATGCTTAATTTCTTTATAGTGAAAAAATTTGACAGCTTTGCTTTCCCGCTCTCCTCGATAATTTAATTATTAATAATTAAAGTAGAAAGTATTAGCAAAATAAATATCTCACTTGCTTTATATTCAACACTGGAAGTATTCGCAAAAGAGACGCAAGGACATTTGTAGCACATGTAAATAGTTGAATGTTTTCTTTTTCACTCAAAGTGTACGGCTCATATAAACAAAATTTTCCACAGGTTTTTATAGAAAAATGGAAAATTTTATAAAATAAACCAAAAAATATATCACATACTGCTGCTTTTTATTCTTTCCTCTTTTGTAAATCCACTAAGAGCACAAATGAACCAAAAAAATATTTGTCGTAAAATAATTGCTCTTGCCAGAATGCTTCAGTACTTACGAACAGGTCGGAAGTTCGATTCAAATGTAAACAAAAAACGAAACATACAAGAATAACGAAACACAAGCATATGTTTTCTGTTTATTGCAAAATAGGAGGAAAGGAATAGAAAACATATGCAGAGAATAACGACAGTTAACGAATCTGTAATGAGAAATCGAAAAAAAAAAGGATAACTTGTTCCATGAAAGAGTCTTTGAAGTAAATGGAGGCATTTTACGTAAACGATATTTTCAAACCAGGATGAAGCGGAGTGACGGCAAGAGAGAAGTAAATTATAGAAATTTTTGACGATAATTACAAGCTGCGATGCAAAAGTTAGGTACACTTACGCAGTTAACGATTATTAATAATAGCTGTAATATTTATAGCTGTTCCAAGTTAGCATATGCACTCCAATCTAATAATAAGATCGAATATATTAAAAAAAGGCCACGGCAATAAGTAAATTTCCAATAAAGAGGGAATATTATCAATTATTATACCTTACATCACTTGTGGTACAGGGTATATAAAGGTTTTGCGAATGTATATAATACCCAGAAGGATTTAAGATGGACTCACCTTTTATGATGGCGAGGTGATTCTTCATCGATTTAAGCTTATCTCCCCGTCTGTCCATATATTTTTGTGTTCAAACTATCGGTCGAAATTTTTGAAATATTTTGATGTGATTTTGTATTCATGTTTTGGCCCAAGGGCGAACGCTATTGAAAAGTGGTTTGAATCGGTTTCTCGACCATTCCCCATTTAACGCTTTATTTTGAAAAATTTTTATGGGGGAAAAAAAAGGAATTTTCAAAATATTTCGATAAAACTCACTGTGTAATTGTACTTGGAAATCCTAAGTTGATATGAGAAATTTTGTTCGAGATAGTAATCTGACACAAATATTAAGCGAAACAAATTTGTGCGACATTGGTCTACTTCTTGAACCCTACTTCATTTGACATTTGTCATGAATAGTAAGCCCTTCAGGGGAAGGTTTAATTTTGAATATTTTATGAAGGAAATTGGCCTTTTTTAGCAACTTATCACAAAAATTGGGGATAAGATATTGGGAATCACGTAAGTCTATTCCTTAGCGTCCAACATGTATAGGGGTTATCACGAACAGCAAAATCTTATGTATTTTATGACGAAAATTAAAATATAAAACTGAATTTAGGAAGTAAATTAAGTTTTTCAAATTTGGATTGAAGAAACGGAACCGTGCAGATTCAATTCGTTTCAGATTTAAATGAATATCGTCATCTCCAGTTTACTCTTTCTTTCTCAGCTTCCAAACTTTTTTCCCATCTTCAATAATTGCTGTAAATTAATGACCGTCAAAACATTTTGTAATACCGCAAACCAGCACAAAATTACAGAGCAGCTTAGGGAGACTATACCGACTCTGAAGATCACATATATATATATATATATATTTGGTGTAGACTTCTCTTCTTTTTCTCTTCCTGTTGATTAACAATCTGCTGTGCGTAACAGAAAACACTATCTACTTGTATGCGGAAGACAGCACCTTGTATCATTTGTTTTCCTTGAGTAAGAAACCTTGCAGCAGCGAGATACAGAATAAATGCTGCACGGCAAATGACGCACTAAGTCAGGACGTCATAAAAATATTTGCATAGGGTCAGGGTAACAAGGTAAGCTATAACGGCGACAAGACTCAAAGCGTTCTCCTAAAGCGTAAGAAAATTGACGAACAATCCCTTCCTGTCGGTGGTGTCATTGTAGAAGTATCGGCAAATCTTGATGTTCTTGGCATGAGAATGCAGAAGCATGTTCGTTGGACAGAGCGTGCGTTCGAAGTGTCGAACGACGCAGCCAAATCCTCGGCTTTTTTAAAGCTATGCGAAAATTACTGCAGTGCAGCCAATATCCGTAACATTTACGCCGCCTATATCGGCCCAAAATTATGATTAGTCGCTTGTGTGGGAGAGAGCATCCAAACTTTGCTTGGAGTCCCTTAACAGCCTAAAACGAAAGACTTAGATGCTCGTGGACGACGAAAATATATCCAATGCTCTCGATACCCTCGAGCATAAGCGCAAGGTGGGCAATGCGGAGTGTTGTGCGTATGTACAGGTACATTTAGGGCAAGTGCTTTCCAGGGATTAAAGGGATTTCTCCATCAATTAAGTCCTTTAACGCCACTACACGGCTGTCTCAGCGTTCTTAGCAACCTGAAGTCCTGAAGTTACCTGCGTACCGCACAGCACACTACCACGGCCCGTCGTTTTTTAACCATATCTCCCACATTTAGCACAACCTACTAGCAATGTAGCATCTTTCCCATCGTATCCCATTTACACGTCAAACATTTGGAACCAGCATTTTGTCTGTCCGTCCTTCTTCTCCTACAACCTCTCTTGATCAGTACCCGCACGTATATGGTGCACCCCTAAGTGGCTTTGTCATAGAAAAATAATAATAATAATAATAATTGATACTTAATTTAAAAAAAAAAATTAATGTTACGGTACATATGCTGTCAGATATAATTTATGCTGGGAACTACCTCAGCTTTTTTGATAGGAAAAATATGCGCAGAGAGATTTTTTTTGTCTATCATAAGATTGCTTGGTTTTAGTTTCAGATTCCTCTATTTCGCACCTTTATTATAGCCATTGAATCGCATTGTCGATCCATAAAAATTTTTGTAAGAAAAAATGTGATAGTCGTGGCGAAATACATTGTAAATATATCTTCAAAAACTCTGTTTAAATTTATTAAAAAAAAAAAGAAGGGATATAATGAGAAATGAGGAATTAAACAAAATGTATACAATGTGCAGGCATGCATATCATCTCAAGTCATCTTGAAAAAGACCCTTAAGCATGTGTATTATCGTCTTCCACAAAATCTTTAGCTTGTTCCTTTGTGACGCAATCTATGTGGCTAACTTTATTTCTAAACCGGACTCCATAAAATTTATGCGCGTTTTCCAGAAGCTCTGGCCGAAACGTTGTGGTAATGAATTGAGCCTTATCACTTAATTCGTGTATCATATCAGCAACGGCCTTTCTATGTTGCGCATCCAATGCCTAATTAAAAAAAAAATAATAATAATAATTTACTTATCAACTTTAATGCATTGGGTTATATTTTTACTAAAAACAGGTGCAAGCTTGATTACTAAATATCTAGATAGATAATTCCATGATAGATTGACTCAATTAAAAAAAAAAAAAAGAAACATGTCCCAAACGTTTATGAAGAAGAAATAACGCAATGAAACTTTTTTATGTTAAGTGAAATCGTTAGGTTCTATTTGTAGACTACACCATTAGTAGTATAGGGCATACTAAGTGCGTGCGGATGGCTGTAACACCCGGAAGAAGTCTCATGTATTTTTATGTCCAATTTACAGGTCGCAACTTTCAAGATATTTCGATGATATTTTATATACTGACGTGTTTTGAAGCAAGAGCGAACGCTATTGAATATGGTTCGGATCAGATCACTTTTTCGACCACTAATTATAATAAATCTTATTTCGATAAGTCGTTAGAAGAAAAAATATTGTAATAGGGAATTTGAATCACACAGATCTATTTTTATTTAGATCGCATCCTACATAGTGACCCTCATGAAAACAAATCCTTCTATAGCAACAAAGGCTAATTTGTGATTTGTTATGACAGAGCCAATTCGAAAATAATAAAAGCTTCGACCAAGCAATTAAAGTCTTTAAATTTAGATCACGTTTGGATATCTTCCAATATGAATAAATAGTTTCCAGGAAAATTACGCATTTACATAAAAATAATGTATAATTTGTGATTTGTGTGTGTATTATAAATTAAGCGAAATGTTGTAGGTTATGTAAAGACCGACCTTGTTCGACTATGGTATTCTTCCTTGTTTACATTTGTGAACAATTATAAACTTTATATCGTACGTGCACTAGTTTGGTTTAGTGTTCCTTCCCAGCTCTATACGGACATTTCTCAAAAACACTTGTTTTTTTTTTTTTTACATAAAACTTTCAAAGTTTACCTGATCAATTTCATCAAAAAGGTAAAAAGGTGCAGGATCACACTTTTGAATAGAAAAGATGAGAGCTAGTGCCACAAGTGATTTTTGCCCACCGGACAATTGATTCATTTCTCTCATTTCTGCGTCACTTCCCGTAAACGAAACCCTTATTCCAATTCCTGTGAATGCGTCAGAATTTTCAATTTCTCTTTCGGGATTGTCGTCATCGTTATCTTTCGTTTTAAGTATAAGATGACCAGCTCCTTGGGGGACCAACTTTTTGAAAACTTGTGTGAAATTTTTTGCTACTTGTTTAAAGGTGAATTGGATTGCTTCAACTTTTTGCATCTCAAGAGATTGCATCAATTCGCCAATTTTTTGATCCGCAACATCTAATTCTTCCTTGCGTTTATAGAGTTTCTCTTTCTGTTCCGAAAAACTTAAAAATTGGTCTAATGCCTTTTTATTGACATGATTATACTTTTTTAAATGTAGATTAGCCTTTTCTAATTCCTTAAATAAGCTCTTTAATGACATCTTTTCATATTTTTTATCTACTTGAGGCAAAGCCCCAAGACTGGCAATTTTCTCAGTATACTCTTGTATTTTCTGTAAAAGTAGATTTTCTTTGGCGACCCACTTTTCCACTTTTTTTGAATCCTCATTCACTTTTTCATCTATCTCCTTTTCCTTCTTAATCCAACTTTCAAGCTCTTGTTGAAGTGACTTCTGTAAATGAACAGCTTCTTGAACTCTAAAAAGATAATTATATTTAACAAATCTATAAATAGTTTGTTCTATTAAATAATAAATATTTTGTTATATATGTATTGAGATTTAGATCATCGCATTACTAATCAAATTACATCAACAAAAACGAAAAAGTAACCTAACTATTATGGTCTATAGGAACACATAGGAACAGGCTTCACTATAAACATTTTCATTTATCTAAATGAAACGTTAACTTATTCTCGTAAAGCATTTATGCAGAATAATATTTTCGGTTCAACAGTTTTTTTTTTTTTTTGTTCTATTGTAAAAATTTAAAATGATGCCGGAATTGAATTACATAACCAACGTCTGTAAACGATCCCATTACCTTGTAACAACAGTATGATTATTATATATAGGATTTTAAATTTAAATTTGTGCGTTTACTAACCTTTTGTCAACGTCATCTAGATCTTGATTAACTTTTCTAATTCTTTTCTCCGTTGCAGAGAGTTCATTTTTGCAGTTAATTAATTTTCTTTTTCTGTCCTCTACAGATATTTCCTGCAAGGCCTGTATTAATTCATCTCTTCTTCTAAATAGATTATTTGCCAAGAGATTATCTAGTTTGTTCTTAATGACCTCAAGATTCATTCGCTGAGTGAACGCTTCTTTATTTTCTTGATTTAATCGTCGGATCTCTTCATTAAGCTGATCAATTTCTTGTTGGTCCTGCTTGGATAACGTGGACATAAGTTCCTGATTTAATTCAGTCTCCAAACCGAGTTTCGTACCTCTCATCGCCTCTAAACTGGCTTTGCATTGCGTCAATGATCGTTCCTTTGGCGATCTATACTTTTCAATTCTTAATAATTCCTCTTTCATTAACCTTATTTCTCCTTGAACTTTTTCAAAAATATCCTTCGATTTCCCCTGCTTTGTCTCTGTTTTTTGCATTTCGGATACTACAGCATTAATATTGCTCTCAATCTGTTTTAATTCATTGCGTAATTTATTAAGTTCTTTTTCATAATCACGTATCTGGGCTGTGAGTTCAGTTCTTTTCTTTTGCATTTCAAGCCGCGATCTTGACGTATTAAAATAACCTCCGGTTAGAGATCCTTTCGATGAGACCTGATCACCGTCCAATGTTACGCAATCAAGCCCGGTACTTTTTGCAAGCTCTGTAGCTCTTTCCAAATTACGGCATATTAACGTTTTGCCAAATATGTAACATAAAGCCTTGCCATGCTGTTCATCGTATTTTAATTTTGAAATCATTGGAATAGAGTCGGGATCGTCTGGGTAATCATGATTTTTTACTTGTAACCTATTTAAAGGCATAAAGGTCACTTCACCTGGCAATTTCAGTTTATTCATTTCCTTCAAAATTTGAGTGCCGACTTTATCAGACTCAACAATATGATGAAAAAGTCTATTCCCCGCAGTAACTTCTACCGCGGTATAAATCGTTTTGTCACAACTAAAGTTTTCTATAACGGGTCCGTAATATGCTTTTGCAATATCTGAGAATGGGCTGCCTTTTTCCAAAAAACTATCTAAAACTTTTCTCACAGAATCCCGTCCATTCAAAATGGGCTTACCGGCCATACTTCTCAATGCTTGATCTGTTTTGGATAACTCTTCTTTATGAGACTGAAGTTGCTGCGTCATTTGTGTCTCTTTACGCCATAACTCGTTGCGCGTAGCCTGGTAATGATCTTTTGTTTTCTTTAATTCATAGTATCTTTTATTATGCTCATCTATTTCAGTACGAAGGTGCTCCAATTCACCAGAGTGTTCTCCAATCTTATTACCAAGATCCGTTTCCGCATTTGCATCTTTTTTCAAATCTTCTTCTAACTTCGCTTGATGGTTCTTTTTATCTTTAATTTGCTTATCAAGCGATTTCAATTCATTGTGAATCCATTGATCGCGTTCATCACGTGTTGAGAATTGCGATCCTCGTCCTTGTTTCGCGTATAGCTCTTTTCTTTTTTGTTCCTTAAGGGCAAGTTCGCGGGAGCATTCCTCTTCTTTTCGCCGCATGGCCTCATATTTCGGTTTAACGTCCTCGAGTTCTTTTTCTTTTTCGCTTATTGTTATCTTTAATTTTTTTAATTCTTCTTCAGCGCGTTCCTTTGATTTGTTATCACCTTGAACCTCATCATTAAGATCAACGATTGTTAAATCTAATTTGGTTTTTTCACGTAAAAGTTGTTGTTGTTCCGTTAAAAGAATGGATTTTTCTTCTTTGGTACTTGCAACGTTTTTCTTCGCATCCTTTAAACTCTTTTGAATTTCCTTAATTTTCTCTTGAGCTTTCTGTATTTGCATATTGTAGCTCTTCTTTTTATCAACGGATGACTTGCGTTGTTGCTGTATTTCCTCTAGAGCTTTTTTTGTCTCTTTCAATTCTGTTTCATGGATTATGTACTCTAAAGCACGCCTCCCCTTATCCCACTCTTGGTATTCTTTGAGTTCTTCCTTTTCTTCTTCTAATGTTTGTAAACGATCTTCAATCGTTTTTAAATACTCAGATATTTTTTCAAGTTTTCCTTCCGTTTCCCGAAGAATGTTCAGAGATTGCTCTTTTCTTTCATCATAAACTCGTGTCCCAGCCACTTCTCTTAATAATTTAAGTCTATACGAGTCTGCTGCAGTAGCCATCTGATTAATTTTACCTTGTTTAACAATGTAATATGGATTTGAATTAGAAAAACCGGCCGACTCCAATAAATTGACAACTTCAGTTCTCGGTACAACTTTTTTATTCAAAAAATACTGATCCTTTTTAGCGCCTATAACTCTTCGAAGGTAGATTTCCTCTTTGTCAATCTGAAATTAAAATCTTATGTAAGGACATATTCATAACTAGGCTCATAATTTAAAATAAAACTTGCAATTTTATGCTTATATTGACTATTTACGCTTTCCTACAAAAACGTAACATAACTGGTATTGAAAACCATTGTTTTGGACTTTGGAACTATATGTCTTTCAATGGACTTGGCTAACTTTGCCAATAAGTTTATATTCTAGTCGCAATTAGGAGAATCTCTATTTCATTACGTATTACTTACTGGAACTCGATTATCTGAGTTGTCAAAGATAATTTCAACATACGCTGATATAACTCTCGCTCCTGTTCCTTCATGTAGAAGAGCTTGGCGCTGTTCTGGTCGCAAGTGAGTAAATTCATCACTTAAAACAAACTGTATCGCTAAAATTAAAAGGAAAAAAGGAAATAATTATTAATGCAGTGTTTTTATAGACCAAAAGAAATAAAAAAAATTGCTATTTCGTTATATGTTTTATTGGATTTGCCGTGCTAGAGCGTCCTAAAGTATAAAGCACAGCCGGTTGATGGGTCTCAATATCGTGTAAACTAGACCGTTTTTTGAATACATTATTCGAAAACAATTTTACGATCAACATTTTTTTGTCATTCGATAGCAAGGACAAGTAAAAAACACTATAGAGTGACACGGTCTACCATTAAATACCCTAAACCGCCCCGCTTAATATGGTTATTCAAATAACGACTTTCTAAAACAAGGGTTCATGTAAGAAGCTGTCCTATACGAATCATTTTCAATAGTGTTCATCATTGGGCCAAGACCTGTCTGTATCCCCAGATATCATTAAAATATCCTAAAAATTACGACCTGTAGGCTGAACACAAGAAAACAAGACGAACAGAGCGACAGACAAGCTTAGATCGATTCATAATCACTTTTTTGGTATAACAAAAGGTGGGTCCAGTTCAAGTTATTCTGCAAGTTACATAGATTTGCACAAACTCAATGCAGCCCTGTACCACAAACGATATAGAGGACAGAAAAGCATACTTAATCGGCACTGTAAGTTTTTAACACATTACGATAAATTGATAATCCAAAGCTATCGGATTTACTCAATAACAAAAATTATAATCCCGTACCTGATTAAAGTCACTAAAAATCGCATCTTTTATGCCGAGTGGATCTATTTTTTTTTATGGAAATTGCTAGCATTATTTATAGAAATTTGCAATCACTTCCTATTCTTAGTTTGCATTTAACGAGCAGACGAGGACGACTCGCTTCATTCTATTCAATAAATTTCTATATTTCTATAAATTTCAAAATATTACATCAGGTATTTTTTGTTTGAACTTTAGACTCACGCATTTAATTCAATGAAGCAAAGTAAATATTAAAATAGTTTTTGATCATAACCGGGAAATTAAGAATGATACACGTATTATACTTAGAAAACTGCAAGTGGAAGGGGATGCGAGATCCTGCGTTATAGCTTGTTTATCACTAAAGAAAATATGGGAAAAATTAAAGGGATTGTATTTCATAATAGAATTACCATTCACTGAAGAAAAGAAGCTTTCCACGGGTCATGCGAAACGACCTTTCCATGCATGAAATCAATAAAAAGATCACATTGACTATACATCTCCACTTATGGCTGTTTAAAATTTGATCAGGCTGGTCACATCTTTAAGAGAAAAAGTGCATCACGTCAATACAAAAGTGTGGGAAGGTTCAATTAACTAAGTGGGCCGCCTCTTTTTTCGGCATGCTTCGACACGGACATTCGAGATATATTTAAGCCTCAATACTTATACGTGTATTCCGAATTAGCCCTACGATGTTATTAATTTTATTAATGTTATTTCTAACTCGCAAAATACTAAAAAATCTTCCATTGTCATGTTAGCCTCGCATTTATCTTATCCGAAGAATCGATTGGCTAAAGTGTCAGAACGGTACTTCGTTGTTTTAAAAACTTTTAGAGAGTCGTGCCATTTTGAAACAAATTGTGCTGCTGCTTATTTGATTAAGTGGAACGATTAAGCTGGTGTCCATACCTGATTTAAGGTATGCACTTTTTTGAAAAATCCCTTATTTGTCGCTTTAAAACAACTTAATTCGCATAACGTAGCCGCTAGTATCCCTCCATGATATACGTCCGTAATGGAAATATTAATTCGAACAAATTATTCTTCCACAAAAATTAATAATCGCGTTCTTCAAAACTTCAAACAAAAACCAATTGTCCTTTTCTACAGGTACGATAACAATTACGCAGCTTACTTGAAATAGTTCCGTCTCCATTTTGATAATATAACTAATATAAACACATCCTGGGCTTTCACTTAATTTCAATTTCTTCAAGTTGACTTATTTCCTAGGACATGTCCAGCAATTCGTATTTGGGTAACCGTGAAAACAATCCGATTATAATTTTACTAAAGTTCAATTATTTATATTGCAAATTTTGTTGAAATGGAAACACATCTATTGTCTAAATGCATAATTAAGACTCTCCGTGTGTACATATGTATGTATACGCATTTTTATTAATTGCTATACCAACCGTAAAAAAAGTTGCTTTTCCCAGAGCCATTCCTTCCAACTACTACATTGTGTCGTTTATCAAAAGGCTCAACAATTGTTTGATCTTTATAGCTTTTGAATCCTTGTATTATGATCTATAAAGGAATTTTTATTAAGAACATGCACTTATAATAAACTTATTTCCTTTACTTGTTTTATATGCATCCTGCTTCTTTAGTTTTCATATCACTTACTGCTTCTACATTAGTAAAACAGTTAGCAAACTGAAAAAACGAAATTCTACCAATGTTGGAAAATTGAAATGAAATACATTTGTGAAAATGCCATCATGCAATTTATTTACACATTCGAAAAAAGTTTTTAATAAATTTTAACTATTCTATGTATTTTCTAATAGCAGGAAAAAATTTAGGAATTTTAAATCAATACAATTCGACGGCTAAATTAGATCCTCGACAAAGCTGATAAAAGCGTATTTTTCTATCTAACTTATTTAGCTTTGCTTCGAACCCATTTAGGTATATAAGCTTTGTCAGAAACGAATAGAAATGGAAATGCGTTATGTTGTTCATAAAATATTTGTAGTGTAATTAAATTAAAAAGAGCCGTGAAATGATTAAAACGGCGGACTAAAAAACTTATAATAATAACAGTACTCTATAGTGGATATTTATTATCTCGTATTGAAAGCACTAAACACATAAAGTGTAGAAAAGGGTAATGATTCAATACAATTTCATTAACTTTGCTTTGTCTCGACGACAAAACTTGATAATCTCTTTTCCTTGCATTATATACGACGTAAGTTATAGCTTTCCATGTTATCACTTATTTTAAAAAGATAACGTAAAAATAAACAAGCTTGACTTTTGTTTTATATTATTTATTTACTTTTATAAATAATAAAATAAATGCAATTACGTCAAGCGTTACAGCAGTGATGCAACGCTATTTTTATTCAACTGCATGTAAACTCGTCCATATGATATTTTGACATATTTTGCATGACGCCTGAGGCCTATGTATTATTCTGTTTTAGGGCTTAACAACACTTTTCTTATAAAGAACGTAGACATTTTTCAAAAAATGCAACGTATTATATATCAGAAACAGCTTTTTTATTGGAATATATCAACGCAAACCAAATAAGTGTTATTCATTTAACATACATAAATAAGTTTGGTCATTTTTGTATTTTTATCGCTATCCTTCGGTTTATTCCGATGCTAGCCGATCTGGCAAAGTATTTTGTCGCAGAAAAGCGTTTATTTGACATTGGTTTGAATGCGAAACATACAATTTAATCAATCTATACATCAAAACCACTTGTTAACTTATCTTATAGTTCCTACAGGTAACACTATCTTTGTAAGGTGATGGAATAATAAAAACAAATGATTTTTCACAACATATTAAAAACATCTGTATTCTGTGTGGCGAGAAGGAACAACAAAAAATAAAGTCTCGCATAGAAAATATGAAACGAAATAGCGAGAAACTTGGAACCAAACAAAATAAGTGGCTGAATTATACAACGGGATATTTAAAAAAATTTTATTTTCTCATTTTATATACGAAGATTTTTTCACGAAACTTTTTTCATACAGTTCAGTGCAACTTGTTGTAGTACAAAAAGCGCCTGTTCTTCCTCTCTCTTTCTATCTCTATGCATGCTAATGTATTCCATAAAAAAATTTTTACAAATTGTGTCGCTTAAAAGCAGTTGTCTAAAAAAATAATTGCATACATAAGCCGCGCAAAAATAATGTTAGCTGTACAAGTCATTGAATAAGTACTTAATTTACAACTACGTTTGTGTGCATGAATTAATTGAAATTTGAATGCATTAGGGCAGTACACCCTGTATGTGATAATATGATAAAGAGTTAACTAAATATCACGAAGAGGAACGATTTCAAATGTTCAAATTTTGTGCACATAATACGAACGGCGGAAGCGAAATAAAAAACTAGTTCAATAATTCAGTTTTAAACTCTCATCGCAATTTGCTTAGACTGCGGTTGCACAACGATCGATGTTAGACATGGTGTCTTAATACGCGTATGTAAAAAAAATTACTCTACATAACAGGCTATACAATCGCGTTAGGTTGTTTTGTTCCGGCTTGTTTCACTTTTAAGTACAGGGCGCATGTTTTGTAGTTTTTCGTTTGTTGACTTTAATTTCAAGTATTACACGAATTTTTATTATTTTTGTATAATTTTTTACTAAAACTCTGAATATGGATTATTGGCAGCTCTACTTGAATACGGTTTTAATGGTTTGTTTGGTTGAAGTTGGAATATTTGTTATCGCAAATTTTGGTTTCGTTTTTGTGTGACTTAATTTGCTTACATTTATTTAAGCCCAGCTTAAATAAGTTTCATTGTGTAATTGATTTTTAAAATGATATTAATTTAGCTGTAAATATACAAGTTCGAGTTATGTGTTCGTATTGCTATATAAAATTATGCCTTCCCTCAATACGTAAAAACCAGATAAAAGAATTCACAGATAATCTGCTAAAGAAACCAAAGATTTTTTTTGAAAATATATTTTTTTATCAAAGTGAAAAGTGTAAGTATAAATTACACCCCACCATACATTTAATTTAAAAAAATATACATATATAATTTATGCAAAGTTTACATATGATTTAATATCCCCAGTGTTTATTAAGAAGTTTGGGGTAAAGTTGACTTCAATTAAAGTTACACATTAGATCTCAGTTGAAATTGGGAAAAATGTTGTTAAAATCAAATGCAAGAAAAGATGTTAATTTACTTCGGCTGAAATGTTCATGTGCACATTTTGGAAGACAAAATGTTAAACGCATTACCTACCTTTAATAGTTTTGTAAGCCTTTAATATCCACTACCCCCAAGTGAATATATGAAGAACTTAATTGTAGGCGTGATATTTCAAATCTACATATTTTAAATCTGTGTCTTTTGTATGTAAGTTAAGTTTTAAGCCTAATTTGGGGTAGTTTGTAAGCTACTTAAGGCATCTTAGAACTTTCTTGATGACGATAAACTAAGAATGAACGTTTCAGTTGCATGTGTGTGTGTGATCCCAATATAGCACCGTTGATTTTTCCGCAATAAATAGTCGATCGAAAAGAAGCGCATACCTAAAATATATTTGTATTTTGCCGCAAAGGATACATGTGTTAATAAGGTTTTTCGTAGTTTTTACGAATACGTCTTACGTTCACCTTAGAATATCTTAGAAGCTGTTATCATACACCATTGGCCCACGTATCTGACTGGAGAATAACGAGAACGTTCATTCACGGAGTACGCCGATTGTATATCGCATCGTTCATATATCAGGCGTATCAAATTTTATTTGATGTCACAAATGATTTTTTGATATTTGTGGGGATCGCTTCATTTGCGAACATGAGACAGGGTTTTTTCTAATGAAATATTCTGAATCAAGCTAAGCTTTTAAATGAAAGACAAGATTTTGCGGTAGTAATAATGATATTATCGGAGGGGTAAATGCACAAAGAGACGGGCGCATCAATCGAGTCCCGCTTTTCTCTTTATTGAGAGTATATAGACTAGATTATGGCAAAGACAGTATTTCGATTGATGCTAATATATTTAACTCGTCAGCTGATTTAATGCCATAGAAGATAAGTCATTTCTTGCTGAAGCTTATTTAAAAAAAAAAAAAAAAAAGATTTAAATTATTTAAACAATCTAAAATTTGCAGATTTTTATGTCGCTCCCATCTAATAAATGCATGGTCTCTAAGATCAAGCTATATTAAGTACAATAACCTATGCAGAATGTAATTTAATGCACTTATGTATGTTCAAAAAAACTAATCACTAAAAATTCAGAGACATTACAGAATATTGGTTAGGGCAAAGCCGTGTTAAATGCTTGGTAATAAGTACGAGGTGAGTGCAAAATAGAAGGTAACCTTTCGAATTCGTCAGGCTCTTCACAGAAGGTCGAGAAGATGATAATGACGATGATTGTCCCGGACGCCCCAGCACGTCAACAATTGAAGAAACCGTTGAAGTAGTCAAATAAGTTGTTATGGAGAATCGTAGAATTACTATAAGAAAAGTTGCTGAGGATGTCGGCATATCGGTTGCCTCACGACAATGCAGTGTTAATAATACGCCAGCTTACACGTCATTGTTTGTTCGTATTTTTTTCGGTCAAAAACAACACTGTTATCATGGCTCAGCCATCGTATTCACCGGTCTTGGTCCACTGCGACTTTATGCTGCCCCAAAACTGAAAAAGCTCGTGAAAAATAGAATTTTGCTTCGATTAAGGTGATAAAGATCAAGAAACATTCGCGGAAAGTTTAAATGCAATTAACGTTCAACTTTTATTTCAATCTGATGACGCATCTATTATTTAAACGAAAGCAAGAGAGAGAAATTTTGTTTAAATAAATATTCTTGTCTTAACTCTCTTTATTTCTAACTCATATTTCATATATATTTCGATATATATAAGCTTGAATAAAATTCGAAAAAAATTCACGTCTGTTTTCCATGCTTTTTTTGCTATTTTATACATTTTTGCCTCTATTTAGTCCTTTCCTTTTGAAACTTTGTTAAGTTCTTTGAGCTACACTTTATATCTTTTTAAAATGTTTCGGACGGACTGTGTTTTGTATGGCTATTCTATCGGTTTTTTGAACTGGCAAATACGATATGATTTCAAGAAGAAGAAGTTGTACGGAGATTATTTTATTGTTGCTACTATTTAATTCGCTTATGGATATTCTATTCTATTCTGGTTACATCTATACAATCATACCAAAAATTGGATATGTCTTTGGCGAACTTAAAGAGCGCTGCATATTTGTTTATCCTCTTCCCGAGATTATTACTACAATCTCAAAGCTCTTGCATAGAAGAACAAACTTGTTGTCTCCTCTCTCTCTCTCTCTCTCTCTCTTTATTCGAGAATGAGAATTGATTCACAAGGTCGAGTATACTTGCAAAGTTCGTGAAAAACTTTCCATTTTCGCCAAGTTATAGCTTTAAATTTGATGTTAGGTGATTTAATTACCTGTACAGATGCTAAAAAATTGTAAGAAAATAATATGGATAACATAATGTTACGGTAAATGACCGCTTATAGCGTCTATGAATATGCGGTCCTGGATGTTGCAAACGATTTGATTGACTATATCGTCATTCTTCTGTGGTGAGTTCAAATATTACATTATTTTTCTTTCTTATTAGTGAAACGAACGAAAGACTTTCCATCACAGATCTATAGGACTAATAGGAAGAGGACTTTGCACGGCTGAAAATGTCCAACAGTTGGCGGGATGGAAATAATCGCCCGACGGACGGTTAAGGTGATCATCAAGTATGATAGAAAGCTGTATATGTTCTTGTGCTTTCTTTTTTTCTTTTAGCGCAGTTTCTCTAAAGCAAATTTTCAAAAACTTGAAAATAAAAGTCAGTTGCAATCATGTTCGAGACTTTTATTGATTGCGATTGGAAATTTAATTCTCAACTAATCCTAAATTTATTATTATTATTATTATTGTTATTATAAATTTAGCCAGAGAATAAATCCTAAGACTGAAGTCTTAAAGCACTAGCATCTAAGGCTTTCGGCTTTTAATAAAAACTCTACCGCACTTGTGATTTGAATCCACAACCATCAGAGAGTTGTTAGTCGAGACTCTTGCTTATTCGGCCACTCAGGCGGATAATCTTGAATTTAAATTTCAGCCAAGTTATCATTTTCTATCATTAACCCTTGGCACTCGACGTTTTTTTTCATTCATATTGCTAGCAACTCGGAGCAATGTTAATAGAAAATTCGTATTGGCATACAAGTAACTGATATGCCTGCTAAATGTAAAAGCCGTGGTTGTATGTTCTTGCATTTTTTTTTTTTTTTTTTTTTTTTTTAAATTAATTATGGACACAAATATTCGAATCAATTCAAATCTCAAGTGCGGCGGTAGAGTATTCAATGAAGCCGATAGCTTTAGACGATAGCGCTTTAAGACCTTAGTGTTAGAGTTTATTTCTTTGGCTAAATGAATAATATAATATATTCAATGATAAAATTTTAGATATCTATCGAAGCAATCGCTAATATGCAATCTTTATAGTTTAGTTCAATGCTGTCTGCGTTATTGTGGTTATAAGCGTTTATATGTTAGTTTTTCTTATTGTCACTAGAAACTTCAACTTTTAACTCATCGTTACTGTTGTCAAAATGATTACAATGTTTTCACAAATTTATTTTTTATTTGCCATAACACGGGGTGATAAATTTGAATTCGTAATATAAAAAACAACATATACACTCAAACGTAATACGCTCTATAGACAAATAACAATAACATCTGAACTGTAATTATTTCTTATTTTAAACGAAATGGAACCGTTTCTGTTTACTGTTAAATAAATTAAATTTTTTCGTGATTACGATTACGATTTTATATAAATGAAGTTATTATTACGATATGTTTTTGTACTTAATATTTGCTTTGTCTTCGAAGCGGAGCGGAGGCCCAACGGAATTCGAAAATACATTTTCAATGTCTCAATATCGGACGCAGAAATTTAATATTGATTCGATTCCGATTCATTTATGTTATAAAATCTAAATGAATTCATGTCGGCATCACGCTATGCATTTTAATAGTGCCTTGATCAGTTTCATTTTCAACCTAATTCGATTTGTCCAATTTATCAATATTATTGTAATAGGGTAGATCATTTTCCCTTTTTTAACTCAAATAATTTATATTTTACTTTATTGTCTTAATTCGAGCTATAGGCAAATTGAAAAGAGAAAAATTACTTACAACATGTTAGGTATAACGGATTGTAACGATTGTAGGGTCAATGTAGCCCAATGTGTTCCCATTCGGTTTTTGAAAAACACATATATATTCTTTGCTTTTCACATTCACCCTCATCGTCTCACAAATGTTATTTTTTTTCCTTTTTTTTTTAGTAAAGTTATTTTGTGCAGCAGGTCAATTTTATTAAATTAGTGGAAATGAAATGTAGAAATGAATTGAGTGTGAACTGTTAGTGAATAGTCAAAAGTCAGCTTTTAGTCAATAAACTAAAATCCGTACGTTAGCTTCTCTTCCGGCAGAACAACTTTATATTATACATTTTATCTCGTCAGCCTTTTGCATCATTTGCATTGACGGTATGTTATGATAATACAAAATACATTCATGTTCATTAATTATGTGGCAATTTTGCTTCTTTTTCAATTATTAACGCCTCGGCCTCTGTCATACAAAAATATCTCCATCAATGACTATAGTCGGCAATTTATTGGAGAAAACTTAGTGATTACAAATTTATATAAACCGATCTTTAATTAAATAGAATCGGTCGCAGGTGTTTAATTTAAAAACACAAAGAGATTTTCACATAACCTCATTAACTTATATTGTTTCCGATATACGTGCATGCATGTATTACACATCCGTTACAAAGTGTTTGAAATAAATTTGAAATTTTATTAAGTGTATGTGTGAACATAATTATATGTATATATTGAATCTTTTTCGAAACGAAACGAGTCTAATAATAGTAAAAAAAATTGATATAAAAACTTAATAGATACACAATAAGCCAAATTAAAGCAAAAAAGAAGTGAGAAAGTTATATTCGGTTACGACCCAGTTTTTTTACACCTATCACCGCTTAATACTGTTCAATAATATGTACACTTGCTGTGGTTTCTAGAGCTTTTTTCCCGGTACTGCACACGTTTCGATAATCACATTATTATAAGATACCAAAATTTAGTTGGTTCCTTTTTTTTTTTCTTTTCTACTTCTGCTTCTTCTTCTTCTCCTCCTCCTCCTCCTCCTCCTCCTCCTCCTTCTCCTTATTATTCTTAAAATTCAGTGGCAATAGCATTGCACATTGTATGTGACTTTCTATCACTAGAATGTATATAGACAACAACGCCAACTACAGTAAGTAAATATATATTATATGTTAGTGAGATAGATCAGTTAAAACATCCAAAGTTCTTTAATACTGATCTAGTGCTAATTATTTCCAACATAATAAAATGAATGATTGGTAATGGGTATACAAGTATATAGTGTTTTTGCTTTTTGTTTATTTTCGAAGATGTACGGAAGACTCGCGAAAGAAGTAAGGAGACAATGTCATAAATGGAAACTTAGGCTACGGCTAATGTGAACAATGTTCTTGCTGATATTCTTTAATCGGTAAAATTTCTCATTCTCTGAATGATTGGTTAATATGGTTGTCGATCAAATCAAAACTTTAACTGTATTTGAAGATAAATGCCTACTTCGCCCGCTCGCTCGCTACGAACTCTCTAAACGTATATGTAAGACAAATGTTTTTTACCGTAGTCCGATCGCATATAGGTGCGACAAAGTTTTGCCAGTTTAAAAAATCTTGGCTGGTGGCTGGGTGACGAGTGGAGACTCCGTTAATGAACGAATTAATCATATGTTTCGGGATATTTACGGATCATCAAAAAATTTGGTATTTTCTACGAATTCATGCAATTTGAACGCGAACTTGTGCATGGACGCACCATTTTTTGCCTTAAACGCCTTAGTTATATCTTACATTACTTGGGGTATGAAGTATGTATGCGCCGGTGCATGCAAAATTCACAAGGATATGAGATAAACCCACCTTTTACTATATAGATCGATTCAGCATCATTTTTTGAATTGACATAAACTTGTCTGTCCTTCTGTCCGCGTGTCCGTTTTGCTTTCTTGCATTCAATATACAGAACGCAAATTTTCGAGATATTTTAATAAAAATTAAGTACATCAAGCCGTTTTGATCCGAAGATGAACGGCATACAAAATAATTCGAGTTGAAGCATTTTTCTGATCATTTCTCAAAGGAAGCCGCATTTTGAAAAGTCCTTATATGAATAACTGTAACAGTATACGGTGTTTTTATTTGTTTTAATTTATCTAAAGTGAAGAATTTTACATTTTCAGATGGAAAGGATTTCTATTTATCCCCATTCAGCGAGTTTATTTGCTGCTATAAGCGCCAGCGTCTTTGTAGTGATTGGAGTTCTCGGTAAGAAGAAAATTTATTACAACATTACATTTATTGTACTTGCATGTCAAGTAGGAAAGATTTTTTTTTACAAAAAACAACTTTCTTCTCTCCTTTATTTAATTGCAGTATTTTTTATATATCTTATTAGAACACTAAAGGTAAATGCAATTATTAACGTATAAAGTAGTAAATGTGTCATTAGATAGACACAAAAGTATACCTACAGATGTTCAAAATTGTATTTTATAGTAGATATCGTTGTATCACTATTTTAACATTATATTTGTATATAAATTTTTCGTTTGCGATCTTTTCAAGCAACTTAAGTAAATGGGATGATACAAGTGCAGATTTTTTTGATTGAATTAGAATTTCCTGAACTTTCTTCTCATCAATTTTACGATTCGTTCAATATAATATAGAACACTTTACACGTTTGATGTATGCGCGAGTAAAAAAATAACTATTAAAGAAAGTTCTTTCACAATTTCGTAACCAATACATGGATCCAATCAAATGCGAATTGGCAAATCGTGTGTACTACTATGTTTTGTAAATACTAATCTTTGTATGTGTACTCGAGGCACTGCCAGTAAAAGACGCGACAATTTTTATTTATTTCGGAAGTGAATGAACAAAACATACTTTAGTCTATTTGATCATAGTCGATTTGTCAGTTTCCGCATTTCGGCGGAATGCACTGTAAAAACAACCATTTCACTTGCATTTCATGCAAAAAGGAATTTGCTAATGTTTCGAGAAAAAAAAGGTCGCTTCAAAAACAATTCTTAGCGCAACATAACACTGTTTCTTTATCTCAATCATGCCTTATTTTCTTCGAATTTCGCAACGCTTCATAGCAAAATAGATGCTCTGGTTATACATATCTCGGACGTGATTTGTTATGATTTTTTCTCTGATTTTTACAAACCAAACAAATCAAGTCTTTATGAAAAGTTTGTAGAACGAGTAAGACGCGCTTACACGTGCTTCGTTATGTAATTAATGTTTAATATATCAGCTAGGTCCATGTTATATTAAGGGGTTATCCCGCCGTAATAGCCTGAGAAAAAGAGATGTCTTCGCAATTATTTCCGGGATAGGAGGAAAGCGATTAAAATAGAAATATTTAAGGAGGCTATTGAACACTGCTCCACGTTAGAACACAAAATTTTATTGAGGTGAAATACTAAAAAATGGCAAGGCCAAAACCATTCTAGGCGTTATTCGCCTTTAATTGAAGAATTACTGCGACCTGAGTTTTTTCTGCGGCGGCTTTTTTTTCCCTAAACATTGATTTGCTGAACGAGAAACTTTAGTTTTTCACCAACAAAAATGAAAAAAATGTTTAAATTAATTTATCAAAAGTATCTTATATACTATTCTATGGAATGTTATTTTAAAGATACTGTAAAGAAAAAGGAGGATAAAAAGGAGTTCATTCCCAGCTCGTTTTCAAACATCCTATTTTGAGACAACATTCTTAGTTGAAGTTTGGCAACATGTTGTTGACTTGCTTTCTTATTATAATACAATTTTTCATTTTTTTCTATTAACTCCCATTACCAGAGCTATGAAAAATAGTCCTTATCCTTCACATGTTCCGGACTGAAGTGTGCCAAAGAAAACGGCCATAAATCCCAAACACAAAATCAATATCAAAAACTTTTACCCAAAATTGAAATATTTTAACAAAAATGCTGAAAGCTTTCAAACTCAAAATGCTAATCAAACTACAATAAGATATTTTTGCCTGGTATTGCTCTTAAATGAATATAAATAGTTTTCAAAGACATCCGTTAGTGCATTGAAAAAGTTAGGACTCAAACGATAAAACATTAGGCTGTGACTTTTCTCCATAATATGCTTATAATATGCATGTGGTCTCCTCCGGAAAAATCACGAAATTTCAATGAATTTCGGAGAATGAGCTTTCCCTCTATTTCCCTCTATTCTATTCGCGAACGCGCAAATAATCTATTAAGTCGAAAAAAAAAAAAAAAAAAAATGGAAAAAATATTTCTTGGTAAATGTAGAGAGAGTACCTTAACGTCTTGGATATATTGAAAATATATAAATATATCGCAAATATTTTTGTTGTTTTCAATTATTTATGCGTCGGAAAGGTATGAACCGCAGTCATCATTTACTCAAAGTGTTGGCGAGTTGAAGAGCGTGAAAATTCGTTTCGAGAGTCGTACAGTTCGATTGACAACTGGTTGCGATGAATGAATGAATTTAACGTTAAAAATTCTAGTCCTTTCCTACAGCAACTTTCTGTGATCTATTCGAATCTTTTCGAAGCTTTTAATTTAAATAATTTTAATTCGGTTAACTGATAATATTATTTATATTCGCTTTGAAAGCGAATTTTATATACTCATCACCCAAGGCAAATATGATATTTAAAACTTCCGTTAATTTTTCTTAGGCTTAGGCTTATGCATTTGTGAAAGATATACGTGATAATTGTCAAATGAATTGCCGAAAACGGTCAGTCAGACACCTAAAGACAGATAAACATTGACCGATCAGTTTTTTATTCGTTTCTTTTATACGTTTTTAAATGCTAAAAATCTGAAGAAGTCTGATAAGATTAATATGTTTCCGTCCTTCGGTGGTGTGTATAAAAATTTGAATTTATTTTGTTTTAACTTTTTTTTTTTTTTTTTTAACCTTAATTTTACCTGGCTATATACCCCCATTCAGGTAACCTAATCACGATTCTCGCTCTTATAATGTGCCCAAAAATTAGAGGCCATGCTACGACGGCATTCGTTCTATCACTGTGTATATCTGATTTGCTGTTTTGTTCGTTAAGTCTGCCTCTTACTGCTGTTCGTTTTTTTCAAGAAGTAAGTAATCAAATTTCAATACGTTAGACAAATGTATATAATTTAATATCTTTTTTTTTTTTTTTTTTTGTTAACATTTTAACATTGCGGTTTATTAAGCGTTTTTACCCACCTCAATGAAGATAATACAGAATCTATGCAGAAATTTACAATTCTTTGATCAGGCAAAACAGATCCCCTTGCTTTAATCTCAGTAGTTCACATGCTGTTAATTGTTCAAAAAAAAACAAAAAAAATACTTCCTATTGCAATTATAATTAACAAGTAAGAAAATTATATTCGATTGTGACCGGCACTAGATAGGCGTGTGCAATTTTTATTATTTTTATAGAGATAATACATCTTCGCCTATAGAATATTGGGTTGAATTTTGTTTGATTTGTAGATTTATCTGTTGTAGTTTGTAAGTAATGGGTCAAAATGCAAATTTTCTATTGCTTTTGATAAACAAAGGTGTTGCCAGCTTATGTGGTATCTTAGGCATGTCCTTTGACCGATTTGGCCATTTTCAATACCAACTTATATGCAAAAGCTTCAAATATTTCGGCTAAATTTGAAGTCGATAGCTTTGTTTTTGCGGTCGAAAGAATGCATACCATTGACATTATACAGACGGACAGATAGACAGACATGCTTAAGAATTTTATACCGATCAAGAATATATATATATACCTTGTGGGGTGTTTCAAGGTCCTTTCTACGCGGTGCAAAAGGGAATGAATATATTCCTCATCCTGCGGTGATGGGCATAAAAATAGTAAAGAAATATTTGTCTTTGATCGATTTTCTTTGATTCCCATTGGGCTTGACTTCTTAAATGAACACAAGTGATTTAAAATGAAATCAAGAAAACGACTCCTTAATAACGTCGTTTCTATACATCGGCGAACATTCGGATACATTCTGGGTACTACTCATGTATGCCGATGACTAAGTTTCGTTTTCGAGTTTAGTGTTTTTTGCTTTACGTATTCGCAATAGCTGCGAGATACGCTCACTCTCTCTCTCTCTCTCTCTCTCTCTCTTTCTCTCTCTCTCTCTCTTTCTTTCTGTCTCTCATATATGTCAGAGCAGACGAAAACTGAATAGCCCATGTTTAACGTTAATTATAGTTGATCAGAGTTGCGTTTACAAAAACAACAGCTATTAACAGAAAATAAGAAAAAAGTGTTTGACATCAAACAGCTGAACCAAAACGAACAATGTTGAATTTATCAAAGGTAGACAAAATATTGTTAAATTTTCTTATTAAATGATCAAGTAATGTTGACGAATATACATACATCGCACACTATGGTTTCTTTGCGCATATTACGGTGTTTGGCGATAAAGGAGTATCGTAATGGGCGAATTTCAATTTGGCATGACATGGTACGATTTTGTTGTTGATTGTATCATGTTGACTGCTTGCAAACAACGAAGCCGCAAATTTTCTGCTTGCTTTGCCTTTCTTTTTTCGAATAAAACATTGAAAGACGAAACTCATATGTAACGCCTTAGCCTCAAGTTTTGTTGTCAACCCAAAATACCCAAAATATTGAATGAAGCAAGCCATGTTCGTTTGTCCATTTGGCGCTTCTTTACAACAAATTTATTATGTACAGTTCAATACTCTTTCAATTCCACGAGTCAAGTCTGAAGATTAACGATATCTCATTACAGCAAAAAGTGAGAATTTTAGAATGGTTTTTGGTATCTAGCTTCTGAGCTGTAATAATTGTTCATTTCAGATTTAACGCAGGTCACTTCGACCGTATATATTGACATACTCACTTAGATATTTTCTAGTATATACCCAGACAATATGAAGCACCTTGTGGGACAAGAACTGTCGGTCGGACTGATTCAAGCGGCTCATTTCTGAAGGCTTTTACTCTTTCTCTCTCTCTTTTTCTTCTCCAAAAGAATTAATCCCTGCATAACGTTTAGAAGTTGAGATCTAAAAAGATTGAATGTCGCAATTTTGTTGTCTATTTATTCACGTTAGTCGGTTAGCTATGCTGCCTATGGCCAAGGAATGACATAAAGAAGGATTGATCAGGGTTAAGCGTAGTCGTTATAATTTGCATTCTTTTCCAACGATTTCTTGACAATATTTCTCTCCCATGATACTTTTTGCACGATTCATCATAGCGTTTCGCTCATTGGCATCGTTTCCAATTTTAAAGTGGTTTAATTGAAGGGAGAAGGGATCTCTCGATGTTGATGTATAAAAATTATGTAAAATACATGAACTTCAGTTTTCGTTATATGCCTCAGCCGGTTCAAAGTTTTCACATCAATTTAGAATGCCCAAATACTACTACTTAACCAGTTTTGCTGAGAAATTTTTAAAATTGCAAATTTTTTCCATACAACGATTTTTCAGAATAGGGCGCGGCTATACGAAGAGTGGTCGAAAAAGTGGACCGATCCGGACCATTTTCAATAGCGTTCGTTGCGGTATACGTAACTTCAACAAATTTCGTCGAAATATATCAAAAAGTGCAACCTGGACCTTCAACACAAATTTACATGGACAGACATCAGACGTAGAGACTGGGTTAGATCTGATATGATGATCTGATATGATTCTGAATCGATCGGTATAATAAAAGGCGGGTTTATCTTAAGGCCTTCTGCGCGTTACATACAACTGCACTTACTTAATATACCCTGTATCACATATGCTGTAGGGTATAAAAAAAATGTACTTTAGTTTACGATAAACATAAATTAGATAAATAATTTCTAAATTGAAAAAAAAACCTTTTATATCTTCTTGTGCGTTATTTTATTTTCCAATTATTTGTATGTATGTGCGCAAAAATAAAGTTTTGTAAAAAGTCGGTACAGTTAAAGTCCCAATTTGAAAATAGGAATAACGCCTGATTGGGTCAGAACCCTATGTCCGTATTTCGAAAAATTGGACCAAGTAGAAAAAAATTGATTATAGATACTTGGATGTCTTTTCGTATAAGTAAAAGTCACCAAAAAATTTTCGAAACATTACGCGTGGTATAAACATTTTTTTGGAATATTAAAAATTAAAAAGGATGAAAATAACGTATTCGGTGCTTTTGGAATAATAATATGTTAAATAAATTAAAAAAAAAAAAAAAATTGAAATATAATAAATAATAAGAATAAAAAAACTATAAATAAATAAATTATAATATAAAAAAGGAATATTTTGTTTATTGTAGGTCTGTTCACCTTCACTCATTTTCCGCAAAACTGAATAAAAACATATATTTTTCCATTTTTCTTTTATATTTTCTTGCAATTTTCCTCAATTTTCCTTTTATACCCTTGCACTGCATACACTCCGTGATTATAATGAGAATGTTCAGTGACTTGCTGAAGACAAGATCACAAGTACGTTACGTTTGTTGTTGTCTCCGCATTTATGCGTAAACGACAGAATATCAAAAAAGCTGAAAAAGATAAGGAGATCGCCTTTACTGCTGTTTGGCAGAAATATATGGTCAGTGATCTGTCAGTGATTGTGCTCAGAGTAAGAGGATAAAATATAATGGATTTTCTATATTCTATAAAATAACAAAATAGTTTTATTTTCTGCATTAAATTTTTTGTTAGATGTTCTTTAGAGAAAAACTGAATAATTAATAATAATTCATTATTAAATTTTATTCTTCAATTATGTATATTATATAAAATCTTTTTCAGAAATGGACATTCGGTGATACGCTGTGTAAAATTTTTCCTGTAATATTTTATGGTAACGTAGCTGTATCTCTGCTTAGTATGGTCGGGATAACGTTAAACAGGTAATATATATATATATATATATATATATATATATATAAATGTGCTTTGTAAAGCTATGTGCATTTTCCCCAGCTAACATTTTATGTAAAAATTCCCCTGATTTTCCAATTTCCAAATTTCTTATTACTATTTTCTATACAGTAATTATTCCGAACCAAGGAGCATTAACTGTAATACCTATAGAGTTCAGTATTTGACTTTAGGTGAATTCTAGATACCAGAAATTACATTACGTGAACTTATATGACGGCTACTGTTTCATTTCAGTTGGGGACATGCTTGATGAGCAACCTTTTTGTATATTTCTAAATAATATTATTTTTTACTTTTACTATTGTTAATAACTTTTTCTATTACTACCCAAACTTGCTATGACATCTTTTGTTAGCATCGCAAAATTGAAAATAGTTATTAGGATTTCAACTGACATTCCTAACCGGAAGCATACAAAAAGAGCGGAATGGAAGGAAAGGCAATGAGATAATAATATTAAATAATAAAAAAAAAAAATCATTTGATAATTAATTAAAATAAAAAACAAAAAGGAAAAAATAGTTTAATCTACATGTCTACTGGAAGAGAAATACATACGTAAGAAGGTTTTGAAAATCATGATTTTTATGTTTGGTCTTCGACCAATTTTTTTAATAACTTCCCGTATAAGGTCTCATTTTGAAAGGTCCTTATATGAATAAGTGTATTAAGCAAATTGGCGTAGGGTATTTAATGGTGGGCCTTCTTCCGTTACCAAAAATGCCAATGGTGAAATAGGATTACTGAGATCTGAAATCATGTTAAATTAATTGAACACTTCAGCAAACAATAAATTCTCCATAACCTTAAAACGCAAACTTTTAAAATAAAAAATAAATCAAAAATCACATTGATATTGTATACCGTTTTGCTTTTATTTCAAATCAAAAATTGATGGCCGTTATTTTAAAAATGCGAATTTTTGTAACGAGATTTTCGTCGATATATTAAAACAATTATCACTGTGAACTGTGACGTATTCAAAATTGCATTTATTTTAAATACGGAAGAAAAAATCGGAAATTTTTGATACCGTTCGGACTTTCATTTTCAAAGGGACAAAAAATGTTTGGTGACCAAAGACCTGGGATATAATTTCAAGATTAATCCATCAGTGATATTCAGGAATTACATCATGTTCGCTATAAATTCATTGATAGACTCTTTGTTCTCCGAAATATGAGATCTTATCGAACAAGACACAGGAATTGCGTACCAAAATAGTCGAATCGAAATCATTACTTTAAGTAAATTATTGTACTTTATAAAATCATTAACTTTCATCGTAGATATATTCTGATTGGCTGCCATTCTTTATATGTTCGGATATATAAAACAAAATATATAATAGCGCAATTAATATTTGTATGGTCGATATCATTTATGTTGCTGGTAAGTATTTTTAATTTACCCACCACCGCAGGATACTTTTCATCGTCCGTCCGCCTCAATTGTTCTCATATATAAGCGTTTATTTGGGAAAAAAAAAAGTTTCCAGTTCAGCTAAAGATTTAGAAGCACCGTCATACTATACGGGCCGGTTCTTCAAAAAATTACCTCTTTTCTTGTCAATTTATAATAATTGTGGACGATGAAAGAAGAAACAAGAGAACTATGATAATTGTTTCATCATTCAAATTAAAATATGCATTAGAGATTTTAGAAAGCGGATTTTACATTTTTTATTAGGTTAAGTTTCTGGATCGAAGCCAATAAGACTAGAACATAATTTCCATTTTTTAATTCACTATAAGAAACAATCATATTCATAGTCGGTGAAAAGCTAGATCAACTGCAAACAATAATTTAAAAGTCACAGACTTTCATTGTAGATATTTATTCGAATCATTGTATCAAAAAAGTTCCTATGTACGTGCATAGCATAGAACACTGCTTTCTTACCAGAACAAAAAAAAAAAAAAAATGGTTTCTAAAAGACAGTTCGTAGAAGACTCCATCCTTTCAGTCTATTGCTTCGATAAATTTCGATTGTGAAAAGGATCGGCGAGTTCTCGTTGGGATAAAATTTGTGTCAATCCGAATACTAGATCGACATGTAAATTTCTTTCTATGTCTTCCAAGAGTTTGTTACAGTATTTATCTTTACTCGGTGCCATATTGAAAGTTTTGTTTGCTTTCGAAATGATTCCAAGCATTTCTATTAGACAGAAATAAAAGTCATTTGTGTGTGCTTTCTGGGCCCTCTCTAAATTATGGAAACAGAAAAGGGTATTTTATCTGCTCTTTAACGAGCCTATTAACAATGTAACATATGCCGAACAGACTATGTGTATGCAGATTTCTTGTCCTGGTCAATAACCTTATAGTTGAAATGAAGGTCTTGGCACGCGTTTTACAAGAGGAATTTTTGGCTTTTTCCGAGTTTCCATGAACGCAATAAGAAAAATTTGCACTATATACACGGGCATGAGATATATCTTCCTTTCAATAAATAGAGGCTGGCGTCTGATAAGCAAAGCTGACCCCGATAAGCAGAATTTATTTCTATTTTCAGTGCAATCAATACCTACCGACCTTAAGTCGAAAAAAAACTTTCGCATTTCTATCTAATATCGAAAAATGCTTATGTACTATCTAGAAGGAAATACAAGATTGTCGGATATCTACGTATAAATCTACGTGATTTTTGTTGTTTCTGGTCCACTTTGGAAGCTGTGAGGAGTTAAGTTTAAGGAACTTGCAAAATGTTGCATCGTTGATTCGTTATGCTATGCTAAAGGATGGAAAAAAATTTGAAGAAATATCGAAAATGTGTTTTCGCGATAATCGTGCAACACTGTTCAAGTCTATGGTGTAGTTAACAAATTTAATATTAAGAAAATCTATATATATATATATGTAACAATTGTGTTTTAATACAATAATAATAATATTATGTTTAGGTGGTGGGTACCTAAGATTCGCATTAAGGCGGATATAGCATATTTTTTAGTTAAAAGGCTTAATTGATGTGTTTTAATTTTTAGCTACCCGCCATTTTGGGTATTTGGGGTGAAATGGGCCTGGACGAAGCCACGTTTTCGTGTACGATTTTAAAAAAGGATGGAAAGTCAATTAAGAAAACCCTTTTTATAATTGGTTTTGTACTGCCGTGTTTAGTTATTATTGTTTCATATTCTTGTATATATATCACTGTTTTAAGGCAAAAGAAAACAATGAGAAATCACAGACAGTTCGATGTACTTACAAAAGAGCAAATATTCTACGATCGGAAATGTCGTGAAGATAATAGATTAACATTGATGATGGTAACAATATTTGTATGTTTTCTTGTATGTTTTCTGCCATTAATGCTGGCAAACGTAGTCGATGACGAACGAAATACGTCCTATCCATGGCTACATATAATCGCATCAGTGATGGCATGGGCGTCCAGTGTAATAAATCCCATCATTTATGCAGCCAGTAATCGCAATTACAGGTAATGCGAAAATTTCCAATTTTTTAATATATTATTATTATCATTAGTAGTTATTAAGTACAATCACTATAGCGGAACATGGTTCATTATTAAATATCTGTCTACTACTGTTACCATATAACGATTTCTCAAAATATGACTTTACATAGAAAAGATTGAAAGCTGCGTCAGTTTTTTTGGGCTAAAACAGGTTGCACAGAAAGCAGGACGAATGGACAGACAAGCTTATAACAATTCATAATCACTTTCTTTCGGAATAATAGGCACAAGATGGATCTGCCACAAGCCTTGCTGGGTACTGTATACATCCGCACAAACTTAACGTACCCTTGTACCGAAAATTACAAAATACATTCGTCAAAAGATATTCGGGATATACGGTCACTGATTGATTGAAAATATTTAAAAAATTTTCTTTTTCTTTTCTTGTCGTTGTGTTTTTATCTTATCTTATTACATATGAAATCATGTGTATGGAATAATTTTATGACAGAGCCTTGATTTTAATATAAATCTATTTGCGTACATTTCTTGCAGGTCTGCATACCGTAAGCTATTGGCGAACCTAAGATTTTGGACCGATACGAGGTCTTCTGTGAGAAGTAAAACTTTTCATCATAGCAAAAACTCAAAAGACATTTCAGGAACTAGCAAAAATACTCCAATCATCCAAGGTGTAAAAATGAATAATATAAAGCAAGATTACCAAAACTAATAAATTTATGTACGCGTATATCATAAGTCTAAAATAAAATCTCATCTTTTCAAAAGATTATGTGAAGTAGTAGAAAATATTATTATTATTATTATTATTATTATTATTATAATTATTAAAATATATTCAATTTAATAAAATAAATACTTATACTAAAGGGAAAAAATATTGCGCATTAGTTTCTCAGTAAAGCGGCTTGATGGTATTCTATTCTAGTCTTGATGAGAAGAGCCGATACATGAGACAGAATAATCTTCCTGTTTGATAGGCAAGCAGGCCAACAAATTCCTGTTATCGAAGTGTTAAGGATGACGTATAGGATACTATGTCTATGAATGCAGTTGTGCATGCATTCCTATATTGATTGTAGAATAAGTAAGTGCAGGCAATCATACGCAAAAGTGTATTCCTAAGAAAAAAATGAAAATGCTATATACATATGCACTGCGAAGAGTCAAAGTCGCCCGTCGTTTTGGTGTCACATGTTCTTCGTCTCGGAGGGAGAAGTGTTGGGAAAAGTTAGTGTTAAGATTTAAGTGCTATATTAAGTTGAGACGAAAAGCGACGGGTTTGGGGAAACTCAATCAGAAAACAACTGTCTTCTAATTGGGATATGGTAAGGTTGTGAAAAGACAACTTTGAAGGAAGTCCGAATCAGGTGACTTCCACAGTCGGCCGAGCTGAGTCTCTTTTCTAAGCCGGGCAGCCTTGCGAGCACGACGTCGGCATAAAGCTTTCACCATTTTCTACTTGCGGAAAGCTTAAAAACTGCCTTCTGAGAGATTAAAATTAAAAATTGGACGATAGAAAACAGCCTCTTTGCTCCTGACGTTGATAAACCGAAAACGTAAGTAAGGAAGCTCTGCGAACGAAACGTCCCAAACAAACAAAATTTTCTGGTGGAGGAGCTTGACGTCCGGCAAGCATATCTCCACGACGCATTTGTTTCATCATCAAGAAATTAAACCTTGCAATTAATCATGATCTTGTATCGCGACTATAAACCACAGGTTGGATAAAATCCGACTGCAGCCAACAAATTGATAAATTTTTAATCCCCCAAAACTTTTGAATTTTTTGCTCGCAAATCTATATTTTCATAGCCAGAAAACTCGTTCAAATGAAGCGAATCAATCCGGACGAAAGCCTTAGGACTATATGAATAATGTTACTAATATATGACTGAGGTCATTTCTAGCTTTAGACGATGCCTTTCAATTATTCATTGTAATTACCTCACATAACGCAACATTTTCACATACGTATTAAGAGTTTGAATTAATTTCCGCCGATATTATAGGAAAAAATGAATGTTCATTCTTCGGTGATGGGTATAAAAATGCCACGACATATTTTATTAAGGCTATTGTTCATTGCGCGTGCGGAAACGACAAGACGTGTATTTGAAGTTACACACGAGAGAACTCGTTTTTAATTATCGTCACAAATCTTTGCTCGAAAGGGCAATAAGTCATCGATCGAAATCAGTGTTAATCAAAAGGATTAATGTGTGATTAAAACAGCGTGGTGGGTAGTTTCTGTGGCAATTTTTGTCATATGGGACTGAACGCCATTACGCTGGCAGATCTCTCTAAATAAGATTTCGTCTTTGGTTGGAACAATTCATAATACACTATATTCAGCTGGCACCCCACCTCGGTGGTCCACAAATATCCAGCTTAATCTTCGATATTCGCGTAATCTGCGTTATAAATATTTCCGCTCTGGATATCAGAACGATCCAATGTTCACGTGTTAATGTTCATCGTCTGTCAGGATTTAGTAGCAAAATTTTTCGGAGCGAGCGTGTTTTCAATAAAACTTCGTTTCACAAAAATAATTTCCACTTGTTTCGTAAAGCTTAAATATATTTATTTTAAGTAGGGAAGTCACAGTTTTAACCAACATTTCCATATTATTAGACGGGCCTTCTCTTGGAAACCAGTGAGAATTTATTTCCTGGAATTATTTGGACATAACAGAAAGGTTTGAAACGAATGATTTTGGACATCGTATTGTATGAATTGAACCGGCATTCAATGATAAAATATCCACATTAGAGAAAAAGATACAATAAACTGGTTTTGCAACATACCTAAGCCGTGTAAGAAGCGCTTTAACTTCTTGACTTGACTTTCCTTTTAGATGCTTTCTCTTTTCTGGACTACCATTTGTTATTTAAAAAAAAAAAAAAAAAAAAACGCAGAAACACTAGTGTAATCAGCGTTTTAGTTTGCATGATTGCTTCAGAAAATGAGTCATTTTCCATCGAAGAATTTATTTATTAATTCTCGGAAAAATAAGAAAAACTAATAGCTTGACGAGGCCAAACGTTATCATTGTATAAAGTAATAATGCTATGACTTCTGGCATATTCCGCTTGCTGTTCGGCTTAATTATATCAATCATTGTTGACAGCATTGTCAAGGAGTGGTTTCGTTTCGTTAGATCAACTCATAATTTATTATATCCTACTATGTACAGATAACAAGTATAAAAAAAATTGAAGAAGACTGAAACCAACTCCAGATAACAGTATTCGTTTATTCGTGTAAATCAAGTATTCTTTGTCAACGCAAAGGAAAAACAAGTGAAGAGACTATTGCGGGGCACGCCGCCTCATTAAATACAGTATACCGCTTCCTAGTTATTTATATATCGACTTTTCAAAATAACGCGTTATGTGGGAAGTAGATGAAAAAGTGGCTCCATCCGAACCGTTTCGGATAGCGTTCGTCCTTGGACCAAAACGTGTCGATGTTGAATGCAAGAAAATAAAATCGATAGACGGGCAGGCGGAAAGAGAAGCTTAAATCGATTCAGAAAATGATTCTGAGTTGGTATTGATACAATAAAATGTGAGCCTATCTCAGGTTCTTCGGGGTCTTGCGTACATCCGCACAAGCTTATTATACTCTTGTATCATAAGTGATGAATTCCACTATCTAATATTTGACTAAATACGTAATAGTGTTAACAGTGAAAGAGAAATCAAATCTTATACTACTATTTAAGGGGCAAAACGCTACCATTGCGGACATGAACTTATTGCTTATTTTCTTGCATTTATTTACCAAAGGATAAACCATGTGTTCAAAAGAAATCTATTGCATACTTTTCTAGTTTAGTTGAAATGCTTTTCTTTTAAAAATAAATAAAATGACGTAAAAATCATTTTTTTTTTTAAAGCGCTTTCCCAGCCATATTTCTACAGTTCGCAATCGTCTATCTAAATCAAAAACCAAAATAGTTCTTGGAACGTTTTGAAGCATGTAAGATTTATCAACTAAAAAAAGGCCACCAATAATGGCATTTGGTTAAAGCTAACCAATCAATTAGAAATGCCAAACACTTCGCTAGATAATGTCATAATTGAAATTTAAAATCTACCAATTGAGGTCGAGAAATAATTATTAAGGTTTGAAGTTTCGAGAAAGACACGGTCTATGTGTTTTCAGAGATCAAGCATTTGAACTCCTTTGAAAACTTTTTGGATTTCCTTTTTGGATACTTTAAAAATCATTGAGTGCAATAAAAATCTAATCTCAAAACAAAACAAAAATCATAAAATAATATTTCATTTTTATCCCGGATGGCCTCTTAATGTTAAATAGATTACGTGACTACTTGAAATTCTTATTTACAATTATTTTTTTCCAGTTTCATCTTTAATTTTGTGTAACTTTCTTAAAAAAAGAGCTTGTCAAAAAGTAAAATCAATGTCACAACCTTTTGTAACTAACGTGACGATAGCCATATTACCAGTCTTATATATATATGCATGCAGGCATGCATGCAATACGTATAATAAAATTGTGCAACATTATTACTCAATTTGTATTCATTCATCCTATTTAATCAGATTGCCCGTCTTACCAATGCCTTGATTAATTTTTAATTAAATTCAACTTAATGAACTGACTGCATGCAATGCGCCGAGGATGTGTGCATTAAATTTTCAAAGAAACAATGCAAAAGAAACGTGGAAGAAATGTTCGGTTCGCAAAGAATCTCGAATACATTCTCAAACGAAACTATGGCCACTTCATTTAAAAAGAATTATATTCGAAACGTATATACACTTATATAGCTAATCTTGTATTTGTACGTAAATTGTACGTAAATAGTTGTCGACGATAAGTATAGTAATTAGTTAATTTTTAGAAAATTTCTTTTTTTTACTTTATTAAATAAGTTTACATCACGAATCATTAGGGGATTTTCTCGAATTAGAAATGAAAGGGAACGCTTGTTGTGAATGATGTTTTATTTTCTTTTTTTTTTTTTTTTTGGTGGCATATTGTGTGGATAATATATTAACATTTTCCCAACAAAACTTAGTCATATTGAATGTGGTTCAAAATTCAAGTTATTCGAATTTCTGATCAAAATTCATGTTTAGTCAAGACACTGGAGAAAATGTCAAAGCTGTTCGTGAGTGCGCTACAATGCATTGCGTTTATTTTGCAAGTCATTTTGTAGCATTTATCGGTGCAAAATTTAAGAAATAATATCGAACGATTAGTATGCTGGAGGCAGCTTTCATTTCGAATATATATATTTAGAAAGATGATTGTTGTCAGTCATTGCGTAACCATTCGCTAATGGCAATCACTTTTTTGCATAAGGAATGTCGTTATATTTAGTTATATTCACACAATTAAATTGACAACTTGTCGTCGAGTCACCAATATCGTCAAAATAGAAGAAGAACATATCTTATGAATTGTACATTATAGTTTTTTTTATCTAGTACGTACACGCGTTACATAAGAACCTTTGAATGAAGTTTCGCCATTCTATTTGAATTCGGTTTGCGGTCAGGAGCGCTGCAAGACATTAGTTCGGACGATTAAGTCCACTTGGAATCGATTTCGGATGCGCACTTTTGAATGTTGCAAACGGAAGCATATATTTAGTATCTTAACATCTTCGGATGGTGCGTATAAGGAAGCCATAGCGTATAATAATTTACAAAGGCACAAACTGAAGGACTACATCTTCATATACATCTACATATGTATTTGATTTATTGTAAGTAATACAATATACGATATAATTATCATAATTTATCGAATAGCTTTCATTTCAAAAGAAGCTATGGGCGATAGTTAACAACGTCTGTCCTGCTAATTTCTTCAGTTATAATCACCATCTTTCGATGACATGTATTATATATACTTTCTGTAAAGCCTGATGCAATAATGTGAAGACATGATGGAGAGATGTGGGGATTCAATCTATTTTAAATAAATGCATAATATTTGGATGATTGTTTGTATTGTTGTTTTGATTGTAAATTAAATTATAGTAAGGGTAATACAATAGGCACGATGGCTGTTTATGTTGAAATCTGTTTAATGCCCACGGCGGTAGATTTTTTGTAATCGCATGTCATAAACATGGTATCATCGTCATGATGAATATCGAAGAATACATCAAATGTCGAATATAAACTTTTTGGTTGCTTTTGCATTTTTCTATTCTCACGACGAATTATTTACTTTAAGCTTAAGTTGAGCGCATTTTAAAGTGCAAAATGCTCTTCATTTGCATTTATATAGACATATGTACATATGTATATAAATGTTAGGATGCATTTGATATCGAGAACGAGGCGAAGAAATAGTCGCACTTCTCTCACTTTACTGCTCTCTTCTTCTTTTATTCTTATAATTGTAATCATTATTAAGATAATTTTTTCACACGCGTAACACATTGGCGTTGTATAACGAGGAAATGAACTCTACATGTTAATGGACAATCGTATACTCACTCATAAAAGTTGCAATTTCAATTCTCTTATCCTCACAAATATCGTTGAATTCTGCATTCAATAGTCCATTCTATAGGCTGTATATATGCCTTATAGACACGCACTGGCGACATTTTTGCGCAAAGTTGTTTGTCATTGACAATATTCAGGATCAGATTTTTGCATAATACACACACACACACACACGCACACACACATACATACATACACGTGGACGTTCGTTCTTATCCCTAACATAAGACGCTGGGTCGACAGACGGCATGGAGAAGTAAACTATTACTTAACCCAGCTTCTGACTGGCCATGGCTGTTTCCGGGAATATCTACACAGATTCGGGCACGACAGTTCGCCTAACTGCCCGGTATGCGACGATATGGAGGAGGACGCAGAACACGTAATGTTCTACTGCAGCAAGTTCGAGAATGGGCGGCCTCAAGTGCCACCTAACGAGATAACAAGCGCAATGGTGGGCAGTGCAGCAGCCTGGAACGCCGTAGACGCATTCGCCAGCAATACTCTCGTGGAGTTGCGGCGATTGGAGAGGCAACGGGTGGAGAGCAGAGGGAGTGGAAGCCGATAGTGCATTCCACTGAGGTCCCACCATCAGGAGCGTGCTAGCGACAACCAGCCCCCGCGAAGTAATACCTAACGGTGGTCCCGCGGGGGAGAGTGGTAGACGAAGTGTGTGTGTGGGGGGTAGCTTTTAGTACGTTTGCGCCAGGGATGGCGAATCGTGCATGCTGCTACTAAGACCCAGCAGTATCTTTCGAAGATTTTCTACCTCCAGCTCACAGAGCAAAACAAAAAAGAAAAACACACACACACACACCCACACACATGCACATATTCACATATATAAGTGCGATATTTTTCAAGATATAAATTCATGGCATTTTGAAAAACAAATCGTACCGCCTAAAAAAAGAAGAAAAACTTAAATTCCCTTTAACGCTATTTTCAAATTTATCACATTTATATTTTATCTTATAATCATATGTTGTAAAGTGAAAAAAATATGAAAAAATGAAATAAATAACATCTAATAAAAGGTATACATAAATTTTATATACATGATCACAGCTCAGATATGATTAAAGTCTATAAATTAATTAGAATGGATTAGAGAGATACGCGCGAAAGAAAGAATACAAATATAATGTAAAGTAAATGTGAAAACCAACAATTGTCGAAGAGTTTACTCGTACTGTTATTGGATTCGAAGCCATCTTCTCGTACAAAGTCATGGCAAGTGGGAAATGTTTTGGGTGCAAGTGGCATGTCATCGTTGTTGCCGACTTTCAAAACCAACGCCATACCGATTTCGGCATGAAATTCTATATGACAGTGAAATAGCCAAAAGCCAGGATTATAAGCTGCAAAACGTAATATGGTATAGCCACCGTCGGGCACGGTCACTGTGTCTTTAATGGGGGGTTCCATCATATTACGCTTTAATAAGCCAAGACCCTCGAGTTTTTTAACCTAAAATTAAATTAAGTAAAACTATTAGTTTCCATTATGTTTGCCTTCCTCTGCTTATGGAACTTACGTGTTCAATGGTAACATTTTTGCCCAAACGTTCCAGTCCGATTACTCTGAAGGCATTACCATGCAAGTGGAAGGGATGATTTGCATCGTAAGTGAAACCCTCATCAACTATAATTAACTCTACGATGGAGCCTAAGGGTACTTGTAAAACGTGCTGGCATTGGCAAAATTGATGGCGGCAATCAATCCCTTCACTTTGTAAACTAGTTTCATTACAAAAATGCTTCTCGTCTATACTATCTCTCGACGAAAGCAAAGCGGATGCTGGGAATTTCCATGAAATGTGATTTAATTGCGGTGTGAACAAACGATTCGATTCATGTAGAGTTGCGTTTACCCCGTAGTATTTACTTGGATGAAACACCGGATTGTCCTTGCGATAGAAATCGTAATATACGAAAAATTTATAGTCGGCAGTCGGCTTTAAAACCCGACGATCTATACCTGGTACATTATTATAGTAGGGTAAAGCATTCAGTTCCGCTATTGTCAAGGAATCGAAATGACCGGATCCACGATTTAAAACATTTAGTTCAATACCTTCCGGTTGATGGTGATAAGTTAGCTTAGCAGTTGGCTCTTCAAGGGGAGCGCCATCATATCGTAATATGGCGACCTGGAAGGCTGATGTGAATCTTTCATCACAGTCCATAAGGCCTTTAAAGCGGATCCAATAATTATCTATGATTTGATTAGCATTAACAATAAAATCGAAACGTTCGCCAGCATATGTGACTATGGAGCCGACATCTACCGCCTCAAAATCATAACCATCCGAATTGATGGCGGTTAGAGTGTGATTATCAATTGATATTTGGATGGGACAATTGAGAAACTCGGCGTTAATAATACGAAAGCGATAACGATAGCCATGCTCGACGTTGAAAACTTCTAGAGGTAATAATTTCAAATCTATATCGATTTCTGCTGAACGTTTAGCGTGATGTTTTGTAATATTGGCAGCCAAACGGATGATATCGTTTTCATTGGTACTTATATTTTTCACTACATTATTAACTAAAGGTTGTAAGAGAATCTCTTCTGTATTTAATTTATTTAATGAGAAGTTAGCAGGAATAGGATCATCTTGTAGATCCATCAATTTTTCTTCTGTTTCATTTTTCGGTTGCATATTTTCCATAAATGCTTCTTCTTCATGTTTATTTTGTTCTAGAATAGCATTGTAGAAGCGTCCTTTACCGTTTATTAAGATATTCGGTGGTTTATTATCGCCACGTGAATGATGATGTGAAGCAAACATGCTTATACCTGGCACGTGAACCCAGTCCTGTACAATTATTTTATGTTCGGGCAGGTCGAAATCATATAAGTGACTATGAGCGTCTTTTGAACGCGGCTGGTTGACAATGAAAGCTCCAAACACACCATCTCCACGTTGCATGCCGGTATGCGAGTGCCAAAAATGCGTACCGGTATTTTCAGCCTTAAATTTATACCGAAAAGTAGAATGTGGTGATATCGGGCATTGGGTGATATGTGGTACACCATCCATATAAGGTGTTTCTTTCATATGCATACCGTGCCAATGAATGGTTGTACTTTCACCTAATAAATTATTTTTAACATCCACCTGCACAATATCATTTTGGCAAACTTCGACAGTAGGTCCAGGCATCATGCGATTCACTACCGTTATCGATCTTGGCACCCCATCCGCTGCAATGCAATGAGGTCGATAACAATCCGTTTGATTATTGGGACAATCATAGCAAGCTTTCGATAAAGTTTCGTACCATTCAACTACGAATGTATAGCGACACAATTTTGGGGTTTCATTCTCTTTACACTCCCTAGCGCAAGGGTGTCGTCGGTAGAAATCTTCGGTCCATATGTCGTCATTATCATCGCCAGTTTCTAAATCAATATTATCATGTCGTGCTTGCTTGCGACAATATTGACAACAATTGTTCGAATAGATTAGCTCTAACGGGCAATCTTTGGCAAATGGTGGGCATTTTCTTGGATATTTAATAACGGAGGCTTCGCCCTGTTCTGAAGCGACACATTCGAGATGACTGCAATCATCGGGATTTTGCCACGTTTGTCCAATAGTATAGATTGCATTTTGAAATAAACATTTTGTACGTACACATTCACCACAACAGGTGCCTTCTTTTGGACGCAATTCGGAATCCTAAAATATAGGAAGAGGCTTGAATATTACGTCAAACAGATTAAGAGACAATGGCTTACAATATCACAGTAAATGTCATTACATTGTTTTTTGGTAACTGTTTCTGTTGGTTGAGTGGCATTAGAATGCATTTCGCAAGTATGCAAACTACACGGATCTTCAGGGAAAATCCATAGAGAACCTACATGTTTGTAAACAATGGAATTATCAACTGTTAACATGCATTGATCCGTTTGATTTTGATCTAAAAAAATAAATAAATAAAACAAAAATGTTTTAATTAGCAGAACAAGGATGTAAGCAGTTGTCACCCTACGTTGAATAGCATACACTCATCATTTCATGAAAATATATGATATCATATATGAATTTTATTATTTTTTCTTAAATAATCTCACGATATTGGAAAATATTTACATCATATTTTGGATACAGCTACGGAGGTTATTAAGAGCAAAATATGATGAACTTCTTATCTATTATCGTTATGTGAAAAAATTATGGCCGTTTTTAAAGATCAGAGTTTTAGTTTTCTTCAATAAAAGAAAATTCGCGACGTTGAGAGAGTAGATGACGAAAAATTCTCAGATTGATGGACAATGTATTGTACAATAACGTTATGCGTGATGCTTGCTACTGATTATTAGAAGCAACGCAATGAAATATGTCTATCCTTTGAGCTAATAGGTCATTAATCTAAATCGCTTGTAGTTACTAAGTAAATTACAGACAGAAAATTGCTAAGAAATATTTCTTCATTCACATTTGATTTATTCATATACGTAAGTTATTTATGAAAATTTTTACTTTTGAATTTTCCCCTTTCGAAATGACAAGACATGCGTCTTTAAAATTCGACTCAAGCTGATAAGATTGGCAAAAGCGCAGAATGTTCTAAAAATATTCGCATCTAAATTGATTTGATTTGATTTTATGTATGTAATAAATACATTCTGGTCATGTCATGGCATTTTAATAAATCACATCGTTACAGACTATAAAGTGAATAATACATATTATACAATATTAGTTACTGCTATAAATATTTATGAACTTTTTTTATTTATTTATTTTTTTTTTTTATTGTTGCTACTCCCTTCAATAATCGTAGCAAATAAAAACAAAATTAATTTTTTTTGAAAAGAAATAAAAGTTGTTTCGATTTGTTGCCATATCTTAAGGCATTTTCTAATTGCTTTTAAAGTTGGACTAAGCCATTTTTTTTTTGACTTTATATATGAGCATCTATTTCGCGATTCCGAAATTAAACGTAAATAAAATACATTTTCTAATTGAGATTTTAATCAACATTTTTTCTTATTTCAATATATTGTCTGGATGTCTTGCAATTATATGTAGAATACAACCCACGCATAGTTATACAGCATGCAGACATTGTTGAAACTTATTACGAAAGCTATGAATCTTCGGTTACGTTTCGTGCAGGGGGAATTGATTAAATAAGGATTTTTACCCCTTTTTTTTTTGTTTTACGTGTATAAAAATCACTTTTGGGGATTGGTTGGCGAACATGATGATGGCATTGGAATCACCCTCGATGGAGAACGTTCGTTAATGGATATTTTGTGGCACGAAGTAGACGATTTCGGTTTGAACAATGTGTGATTTTAAGAAAATGGTGCGACATGCTATATGTTTCATGACAAAATCAATAAGTTGGAAGAAAAGCTCAATGATCGTGTAATCTTGAAAAATGCCGGAAAGATCATTGGGCTTATGTTAGAGCATTGGCTTGCTATGAAAAACTACGCATTCTTAATGAGCTTATCCACCAAGATTATTCGTCTTATTGGTGATACAAATATAGACTTGTTCTGATAGGTGATAAAAATTTGTGTTCCAAGATTGAATTTTTTACAAAAGTCCAGAGGATGCCGTTTGCATTCGGTGAAAGTGACATAGACTCGTACATAAAGTAAAGGAAAGTGCATCTTGATAACTTCTACCCTTTTAGTTTATATTACAAATATAAAAAAAATCAAATTTGACCGCCTTCTATTGGATTCTTTCCTGTAGTCTAAACCACCCGTGTTACGAGGGTGTATTGAGTTTGTGCGGATCTATGAAACATCTAGAAGGACTTGTGATGAACTCAGCTTTTATCATACCTATCCATTTGGAATCACTTTCTGAATCGATCTAAGCTTGTCTGTCCACCTGTGCACTAGCTCGTCAGTTGGTCTATTTTTCTTGCGTTTAACCTGCAGGCTATATATTTCGAGATATTTAAATGAAATTGGGTATGCTGACGCGTTTTTGCCCAAGGGTGAACTCTATTAAAAATTGTTCCGATTAAATTATTTTTTCAACCACTTCCCTTATGGCGGCTTTTTTTTTGAAATGTCGATATACGTATAATTGGACGCCAATGGACGGTAATTAATGGTTGGTTGTGCCCGACTATCGCAATAGTAAATTAAGATAGCTTTCACATAGTTTTAATATGCTTAAACATGCCTTTTTAAGATGTCGAGGGCTCACAGTTTCCTTTGCGGAAATTTATTTTTTTAAATTTGTGTAAAAATCAAACAAATGGAGAAATAGATAAAGCAAATGTTTAAATTTATTGCAACAGCTTTTATGTAAATTTCAAACAAAAATTTTAAAAGTCTCAAAGTCGAAAGTGAACATATTGCCTCACGCTACAAAAATTCAATATTTTAATTTTAATTAGTTACAATAATATTAAAAAAAAAATTTATGTTAAATTTTTATTAATAATCATATTAATCGTGCCGTTGTCTACTCCCATAAGCATGTGTATATACGTACATGCATGTAGGGATTTTTTAAGTAAAAAAAAAAAAAAAAAAAAAATTTATTATAGAAAATAAGCTGATAAAGTAGTATATTATGCAGCTTAATTTACATTTTTAATTTCAAATTAGACGAGAATTAAATTTTAAATGTTTAAATTTTTTAATACATTTTTACGCTCAATAAATTACTACCGTCAATATTTGTAAAACATTTACTCTTAATACCATAATTTTTATACCCATTAACTTGGTATGGAATATATACACACACATATATATATATATATATATACATATACGCTAATTATGTCATTGTTTTTCTCAAAGATAAAAGGTAGAAGTTTGTCATTGCATTATTTAAAAAAACGTATTAAAGCACAAATTTCCGAACCAATAAAATCATGTCCGTCTGTATGTCTGTCAATTGTTTGCATTTTCAAAGTCATACAAATGGAGATAAAAAATTGAAATTTATTTTATTTACATATATACTAATATAGTATTCATAGATGAAATTTTGACAATGTGAATGCAATTTGTTCTCAACCTTTGTCTGGATAAGATGATGGAATTTGATAATTTTGAAAAATTAAATTTATTTTTTATATACACATTCTCCTCATGATTTACGGCGCGCATTTCTACTACGTCTACCGAAGAAGAACGTGGGACGAAAATTTGTATTTTTATGCGCGAAATTAATAGTAATAAGGCTAATTGAGAAATTCGTGGATTATTAATAATTTTCTATATAAAATATATTCTTCAATTTTGTTTATTCCATCTATAAAGTGATTTTTTTTTTTTCATAGATCTGCAAACTATTTACCTGTGCTCGCTTCATGCAATTATCCTCTGATAAAAAGAAAAATCACAAAAAAACACCACTTTTGTAGAAATTTTTTATATATATATATATATACATATGTATATTTATCGAGGAATACTTTTGTCCCATAACGACTTTTTGTGCTTTTATTGCCTTAGTTGCTGTTCACTTAATGTTTTCTCTCGCAGAAGATTTTTACAAAAAATTCCGAGATTATCTTGTAGCATAAGGACGTTTAAAATTTGTTTTATTATTTTCCTTATCAGAAATTTCTATTGCAAAGAATTTAATAATAAAAAAAAAAAAAAAAAAGATTAATTTTATTTTAAACTGTATATGATTTTTTGAGCTTGCGAATGCATCAAAAATAAAAAAAAAATATAATCGCGATCATGTTTGTGTTTTTCCTTAAGCTGGTATTTTTGATGGATTGAGATGGGATTTTACGTTAGGTTATATTTCTATAAAGGGTGATATAATGTCATGGTTGTAATATAATTTTTTATTTTTATTTTATTTTACTGCATAACTGCAGTTCCACGGACTTGTCAATTGACCTATTATACACATACTACATATGTATGTTCGTGTTAATGCATTTTTTTTATTTATTTATTTATTTATTTTTTTTATTATTAAGTTCAGCACGTGAATATTACTTGCACCTGTTTGAGATGCATTTTAATTGTTTAATTTGATGCTTTTGTTGGTGTTGTTGCTGTCCCATTAATAAAACAATAAAGATTCACACAAGTTAATGTGAGAGAACCGAAAGTAACATAACTACATATGTACATATTATATATATAAATGTATATATATATAAACATATATATATATATCCACATATATATGTATATATATATATATATACATTGTATGTTGTAATTAAAGTACATTGAATTGGATACAAAAGTCAAGGTCAATTACAATTAGGTTAAAAAAAGAAAAAAAAAAACGTATATATATAAATATATATATATATATATATGCACATGTATATAATATAGATATGCATAATTATTCTTGGGAAAACGTGATTGAATGTAAAATAAAAATTTAAATATGTAATAAAAAAATAGAAAAAAAAAGCACAAAAAAAAAAGAAGAAAAAATAAAAATGAAAAACTTGAGAAAATGTATTTTATAAGTTCATATTATTGATGAGTGAATAAGGCAACAATATTTATAGAAGCGTTCATATTGATGCTTCTTTCAACCACTTACCTGTTTGATTACGCACATTAACCGATAGCCCACCAACATACGGTGGCTGCTGCGGAACCAATAAAATTACCACAAATACTAGTTGAGCATATATTAAACCAGTTACTCTGCGACTATAGTTTATAATTGCATAGCAAAGCATTGTAAAGATGATATTTATTGAGCGGTTAACAGCAACTGAAAGATAATTTTGAATTTTGTTTCCGTTTAATTGCTGCAACATGTTCATACAGTTGTGACGTCGAACGCTATTGAAATTCACATAAATAGTTTTTTTTTTCTTTTTTAATATAAACTGTAAAATGAAATAAAAGAAGAAAGAAACATTTACTTAATATTGAAATTTATAACATTTGAAATGAATGTTTAATACATTTATTAATATTTGTAATAGTCGTCATCATTATTGACCTGATATCGTTGTTTCGCATTTGTGTTTTTTTCTTTTTTTTATATTTTATCACGAAAGCGACAATAACTCTGCGTACGCATGATGTGTTATTTGTGGTGGAGATGCGTAACTGTAGCCGCACTTTTGTTCTAAAAATATTAAAATCAAAGTTGCGCCTTGGTCTGGTTAAGCGATCGCTGAAATATGCGAAAAGTTGAAGAAGACTGATACAAAAGCAAACCATGACATTACTAAGGAATGAAATATCGATCACAAAAAGAATAACGAACTATTTACGTAAGGCTGCATACACACAAAGAAACTTAGCATGAATTATCAATGAAAAATTTAATTTATCGAATTTCTATCAGCGATTCGCAAAAGTAAAAATCGGCAAGAATTGCCATTGCCTTTGCCATCCACTGCACCATCGTCAGATCATGGAAACGTGTCGATTCGGGAAACAATTTTGAAATCTTTCTTCAAGTTGTTTGGATCGACTTTGTGTATAACCCGCCTTCTGTAAACCGTCTTCATACCCTAAAGTCGGTTTCGAAAAAATTGCGGGACAAATTGCTAGCTAAGAATGGCAACAGCTGCTTACATGCACTTAAGTAAAATTTATGTTGAATAAAAGATATGTTAAATAAGGTCAAGTAAGGGAATAACATTCGGTTATGAACGAATCTTTTACCCCATCATCTTAATGTTGAGAAAGACAGAAAGAAATAAAAGGAAAACACAAAAAGAGCGAAGAAACTAAATTACTGTACTCTATAATGTTGAGTAAGGGCATGGTTGATCTCTGCCCCTTTTGTATGCTATGTAACATATAATGTATATAATTTTTATCGTATGTCTTTTCCAGTTTATAAGTAATCAGTAAAAATCCAAAACGCAGCAATGCTCCCACTTAATGTTCCACTGTAAGCGTGTTCAAATTTGAAGCCGATATCATTATTTTTGCGATCAGCATCTGCTTAAATGCATACAAATTTTGCAGTTTCCTTTCTGCTCCTATGAAAAAATGAATATATATATATATATATATATATCCCATTCTCTGATAGGATAATTGTTTTTCTCGGTGTACGTAAAAGTTGTTGAACTCAGAATCATTTGACTTTGGATTTCTAAACGATTCTATTCTAAATTTTCCATAAACTTTCGAAGAAATTCACCTACAATTTGTAGCACTGTTGTGACATTTTTTGTAAATGTTGTTTTATAAACTTCAAATTCGTTCACGATCGTTGAATGAATTAGCGGATGTTGAATGTAAAAACTTGTTACTTATACTTTCGTAAAAATTCATTTCAATTCTAAAGAATAGGTTGATGGAACCTAATAATGTACGAAAGAATGGAAATTAAGGCAAGCATTAAATGTATTTGTGTCATTACGAGAACAAGCAAGGCGTACAGAACGCTTGTACTTTGATGTAGAGGAAGAGAGGGAAATAAATTGCAAAACGAAATATATTAACGCAAACATGCATTATATTTAATTGATAAGCGTTTGGTGTGTCCACAGGTTCGCTTAAAAGCAGTAAAGTTAGTATTCTAACTGGCCCCCAAAACTTGATATCTGAAGCTGGTGCACGAAATACGAAATTAATCAAAAATTGACACTTTATTTAGATGAATAAAACAATTGCAATGGAATTTATTTTCCAGTTAAAATATTAAAAAACAAAAAAAAAAACGAAGCTTAAGGAACCTGTTCTTAATTGTGAAGATCCCAGTAAAATGATTGAAGTCATTTTTATACAGAAAATTGAAATGATCGTGATAATTGTTTGCTATATAAATTGAATAGAGACAACCAAGTATGTAATGTAGATAGTGGATGATATGACACGCGTGGATGTTATCTGCATGAGAGGCGTGACATCGCGCAATAAGACTATTGATTGATATAATTGGCTTTTAAGATTTCTCACAGACGAAATGTAAATTTTTTTTTTCGGGGCTTTTTATACGTGCTCTTCGAAAATGCAGCACCATTACAAACATTTCATTTGTAATGTGTACAAAATGAATATCGATCGTATGCGAAAATAAATGTATTTAATTTCCACTCTTTGCTTATTCAGCTAATCGTTTATAATTAATAAAAACTAAATATTCGAAAAAATTTTTATTAAAACAATTCATAAAGTAAATGCGTTTTTTACTCCTTGATACGGCAATGAGAGGAAAATAATTCCCTCCATATACACAAATACACATATATTTGCACAATTAAAGGTTAATAAAAATGCTTTTGTTTTACATTTTTAATGCTTTATTTATTTTATTTTATTTTTTTATTTATTTATTTATTCAATGAAGGGCGATGGTATATCAGTTTTGCCTGTGTACATGCAATTCTTAATAATACACAGCAATGATATCGTAAAGTACTTGATGTTCTTAGACAGTGTAAAATGTGAAGATCATTAAGAAATTAGAAACCTAACGTCTGACATCTCAATCTATTTACAATAGCTGTACAATACACTTTATGGTAATTGGATAAGTTGCGATCGAAAATAGATATCAATTTGAAATTTAAGAAATATATGTAAAAGAGCAGATTAAAGATTTGCGGCGAAAAAGTTGCTGAAAAGCAAAAGCATTTGAAATTCTTCTATTTCTGTATTACTTTGATAGGCAGGGTATCCAAGGTTCGCTTTAAATTGAATGCATTTGTATTTGCTTTATTAAAGAGAGTAAATTTAAATAAACATGATCGGTGACATATCTGTTTCAAAGATCTAAATTAATAAAATTAATATCGCCTATTCGTGAAATAATCGAAATTATGACATCTGGAATTAATGTTCTCGTTATCAATCGGTTTACATGCGCGCCGCATAAACTCTACATACTCGTTTAATAATTTATATATATATATATATATATATATATATGTGCGACTGACTCCTTTAAAGCTATCTCACAATTTATTGTTATTATACAATAAGTGAATAGCTACTGAATTCATATTAAGAAGTCATCTATAATATAACAAATTATGACTCATGGGGGGAGTTAAGTTTTGAATTTTTGTTTGCATGTTATATTAACATTTACTCGAGCTTTGTGTATTTAGGTGCATAATATTATACTGACTCGCAAATTGTTGATTGAATTATTGATTACATATATATTTGAAAAGATTAACGTTTCTTTGAAAAACACATCACACATTATAAAGCGGAATGATTGTCAGCATTAGAATATTACTTTCTATGTCAATTTACTGCATTTGCTAACGAATTTAAACTTCATAAGTTATCAAAATAATGTTCGCCTTAAGAGGCGTCGGGCTTAATCACCGCAATGCAAGAATGAAATGAAAAATTTTTGTAAATATTTGATATCACTTTTATATCAATAGTAAGATATATACTCGAATATACTAAATGATACATAGAGTAAGGAAGTAAGGTTAGGAAAGATGACTAGTCCGTGAATTGATGCTTGAATTGTACACACATTACATGAGCATCAAACTTTTAACTGAAACAAACTGTGACAAACATTATAGTTAGGCAAGGCTGGCCATTAAATACCCAACATCAATCCGTCTAATGGAGCTCTTCACTTACTTTCGTAATCGATTATCAAAAATTACACCTTGTTCCTATATAAAAATATGTTTTTTTTTTTTTTTTTATGGGAAACGTAGTAAATTTAAGTTGCCTCTCAAACACTTTATTATTCCTCATCTTTTCTCAGGTCATAACGAACTAAAATGTAGACTTTATTGCCATATAAAGTCCTACTTTTCATTGGGAGTTATTTTGTTGGAATTAAAAGAATGGGTCTACGTAGTCCAAATTTAGTGCAGTTAATTATCATGACTACATCCTGTTTCCATAAGAATGACGGTATACATGAAAGAGGGTTAAAAAAATGATCTCATTTGGTCCAAATTTTCCGCATTTATTTCATATGCTAAAATATGAAGGCTTTTCTAAAATAGATCGTTGTATAGAAAATGATCCAATTCATTTTCAGTAGCCTTCGTTCTGGGTCCGAGATTCGTCAAAACTTTGTTTCAAAAAATGTTTCAAAACTTTTGACCTTTATGTTATACATAAAAACATATTCATACGCAGACATTGGGTGAACAGACAGACTTAAATCGTTTCAAAAATTGATTCGGAATTAATCGATGTAATAAAAGCTTAGTCTATCTTAAGTTCTTTTTCTTAGATTCAATTAGACTCTGCATCGTGCACAAGTCGTGCAGAATATAAAAAGCATGATGTCTCATATTAAAATATATTCCTATTATATGATAAGATGGGGACAAGATTAAGTTTCATCAACAGCACTCTTAATATTCTTTCAAAAATTTGCACTCTCTATACTTTAAACAATTGCAGCATTTAAATAGCTTCAATAAATGCAATGAGTAAAAAAAGGTTAAGAAACTCCTTTGTACGGCATATGTACGCTTAATAAGTCTGAAGAGTTCGATTTGAAGCAAGTTCCGCTTGTGATACTTTTTTGCCTTTAGTCTTAGGCCATTGATGAGCATATATTACGAACAATGTTGTTTTGGTTTCTTTTCATAGTTTCGCAAAGTTCAGGCTTCGAAAAGCCTATAACCAGACTCTTAGAGTTTGAATTTGATACTGATCGCGATTATGTACGTCCTGTGGTGTCCCTTTTTTTTTCTTCTTAATTTAATGCAAGAGTACAATGTTAGCCTGTACGCATGAAGAGAGCGGCGAATGGACTAATATATTGACTTGGTTAAATTACATTTACACGTTACGTTAATCAAATGTGTATAAGCTTTGAACCGATTTACGATTTCAGCTGAATATTTTGAGATTTTAGTAAGGCAATGGTATAAGTCGCATAATCTCATGAGTAGAAGAGAATGAATCCAATTATGCGAATTCGATATACCTGGATCCTGGAATCGACCTGGGTTCGACTAAGATGAATTCGAATTCATGTGGATCATGTGAAGCGTATTTCTGAGTTAAAAAAACCAAAATCGCTTTCGGGCTTGTATCCAGCATCTGAATGTAACTAGGCGAACGACCCAGACAATTGAAAAACCCACGGGCTAAACTGTATCCAAACGATACGCTAGATAATTTTAGATCCATATTTCAAGATTTTACCAATAGGATGATAAAGATTGTTATGTTTTCACTTCGTGCAGATTGACGACACAGAAAAGAAATCAGAAAGAAAATTATATTCGATTGCGACCCATCACCGATATCCGTTAGATTGAAAAAAAAATAGAAAAACATAAATTTGCGTACTCGATAATCTGGGGTGGGCGTGTCTCCCTTTTTCTATTTTTGTAGATTAATTTTTGTGGAAATTTATATTATGAGTCACGACACGGAAAGCCAAGCTGCGCTCCGCATTGATTTTGTACGCATACGATGTCGCAGATGTGTTCTTTGATATGTTTTTTTGGGCCAAATTTCAAAATTCTTTTACAGATTTCTAAGCGATACTACATGGTTGAGCAAGCGGGCCGATGCACACGGTTTGGTGCATTCCGAATTTGAAAAGAGTGTATATACCTTGTGGGATTTTTGAGGCTCTTTTCTCTGCGTTATAAAGGTATTGAAAAAAAGAAGATTAAATTTTTATGCACTATAATATTGAGTAGGCGTGATCAATTCTTTCCATTCAAATTACTTACGTGCAAATTTTTGTAAATTTATTTGCTCTGGTTTAGGAGTAATGAGGAAAAATCAAATTTTCCACTGCCTTTGCAAAGCGGAGGTGTTGCCAGTTTACGTAGTACTGTAGACGTGTCCTTCTACCGATTTGTTCTTCAATATCAACCTGCGTCCTAGCACTTTTAATTTTTCTGCCAAATTTGAAGACGTTAACTTCACTTTTGTGGCCAGAAAACCGTTTACAACAGAAAACATAAAGACGGACAGACGATTAGATGGTCAGATGGGCATGGTTAAATCGATTCAGAATTAAGATGCTGATCAAGAGGAAGTAAGGAAACATCCATCCTGGGCGTTGCAAACGTGATGAGTGAAAGAAACGAGCTTACAACTTGTTCACTAACAGATAAAGTTGAACTTCCTTTTACAACATTTTTTATTGCAAAAAATTGGAAAAGAAACGACGAGCGTTAATGTGATTGCATTAATGTTATTGCATTCTTTTGCATTTACACATGAATTTCTGCTTATTGTGAAATAATCGCTTAAAACAGTCACTTCATGTAAACGGCATTATTTGTAGTGAAATGAATATTTTTCGTGTATTTTGTGAACCTAACAAGAATGTCTTTTCATAGTCATGTCACAACCAAAGATCAATGGTTTGTTAATTTTCGCATACTATCTGTAACAGCGACAAATACGCATTAGTTTATAATAAAGTTGATAAATTAGTAATCGGTGTACGATTGAAGAGATTTAGCCTATGGTCGTTCTTCAGCCCGTTTGCAACTAAAGACAGGTTAAGAAGTTAAAGTTTGGCTTACTTGTTTTTTTTCTACGATAACTGAGATAACTTAAACTCGAAGCAGCCTTGGCAAAAGAGTAAAGTAAAGATTTTATTACACAAACTGTAATAAATATGAAATATGGTAAAATTAAAAAGACATCGAAGGTCGTGGTAGATTATTCATTAAACCATCAAAAAAAAGAAAAAAAAAAACCAATTTAGATTCGCTTAAAGTCGATTACAATTTTCTTACGAGCATTTTTTCAAAATGCACACTTGAAGGAAGTTTGCTTTAAACCGTCATAGACTCTATAATAAATTTATAGACGTATGTGCACTATTGCAGGTTTCATTTATTCATTTTATTTAAGACAAACGTTTATTAATTATTTACCTTTCTTATCTTTTATTTATTGTTGACTTAAATAATAATTTTTTTGCAAAGTTATTGCTTAGCATTAAAATGATTGCTTTTATTTCTTTTTTTGTTTTCTGATTATTATCACAAAATACTTTTATGACATCAAATAATAAAAACTTTATATTAAAAAAGGTGCACGTATGGCCAGCAAAAAAAGTAAGATTTGAAAATGTATATAAAAATGTTTTATTTTAATAAATTTTTATTTATATGGTTTTAACTGATATTTCTATTTTTTTTTATTTTTTATTTTTTTTTTTTTAAATTTTTGTTTTTACACAAAGTAAAGATCCTTAATTTTTGAAATGATCTCGCAATTGCTGCGGTATGTTATAAATAACGATCTACTTTGATTGACGTATGAAACACGACTAACTGTAATTAAACAATGCAAACATGTATTTGTGTTAAAAATTTTAGCCCAGTTAAGAAATAAATAACGTAGGGGTAAATAATCAAATAACGCTCAGATGCACCGCTCGCTCGCAAAAGCATGATCTCTAACGAGAGTTAGAAACGAGAGTGCTTGAGACGAAACTCTCAAAAAATGTTTCCATAATAGAAATAATTAATTATCTCTTTCATGTCGTTCATATCAATTAACAGTATTTACCATGAAAAACAAGTAACTTTTATATATATATATATATATATATATATATATATATATATTTCTCAATTACCTGACTAAATGGGACTTTTTAAGTGCGTATGTAGTCGATATAAACTTCAAAGTAAAAATATTCCCCCCGGTTGGGCAAATCCCAAAATCCATTATTTTGTTATATTATATCAAATATTTGATATAAATTCATGGTCAATGTTTATTTTCAGCTTAACAATCTAATCATCTTAATCATATGGTATTGACGTACATCTAACCAAATAATAACAATACTAATAGTCGGTACATATACTATACTCGTCTATGGCTGATTCCTAAATATCTAACATCTAAGGTTTCCTGTTAATTGCACGTGTGTACCAACAAGTTGCTCAGATGCTTGTAGGAGCATGAGACGGAAGATTTCGTTCAATTTATTCATACTTCCCATACAAGTTAGACATTGTTAATTAAACTATAGCCTATTACTCTAGTTGTTGTGGCCAGGTTTGGATTAATAACAACTGCGGTATTTGAAATCATACGAAGAGTATTTGTACCAAATTTTGACTTTTGCTACTATGAGAGCTGTACAAATAGACGAACGTACGGCCAGTTGGATATGGCTACTATAAATCGAATACGTTAACTGTTTCAAAAAGATATAGTAAGCAAACACATGCAACCTCTGATATCGGACAAATCCAAAAAGAAAGCTATTTTCGTGTTAGTCATCAGTTAAATAATATTTAAAAACTATTCGGCGTCAATACAACGCTTAACTCTTGTAAGGCTCTAATCAATATGCGAGATATGTTACACAGTTGCATTCACTTGTTGTATGTCTTTCGATTTTCCGATCAATATATGGTATAAATTGCAAGTTACAGTCCCTTGGTCATGAAGTGTAATTGTGGGCGAATTACGTTATATTTTTAGCTAAGAACAAATAGACCAAGTTACAGAGTTTTTCCCAGTCAAATGGCATGAAATGAGCGATAGACGAAAGAATCAAGGAACAAATCAACGCACGGGTTTGAGTCACCCAGGCTTAAAAGTGCATAATAATTAAAAATGTGTATACCGTTTACACATGTGTCTGAGAAGCATTTGTGGATGTTGCAAAATAGAGAACAAACCTAATACACATTTCTATTTCGGTGATGGGCATGATAATTCATTCAACCTTTGATTACCTTAGTACTGATACTGATTGATCGCATTTTTACAATGTTTTGTGCAACTGCTTACGCTACTATACATATACGTATGCCCTTATTAGCTTATGAGGAATTTTCATATTCAGAGAGAGCACAAGAGAGTTGAAGCTTGTTTGTTTATAGACTCAAGAAAAAATGTTTGTCTAATTTATTTACAATATATTTTTTTTCTTAACACAACGCATGCAATTAATAGGGTTATAAAGTGGGTTTATTATTGTTATACCCTACACTACATAAGTTATAATGATATATTAAGTTTGTGCGTATGTATGCAGCATTCAAGAGAACTTAAAAGAATCACTTTCCAACTAATTCAATTAAGCATTTCTATACATCCGTCCGTCCATTCGTCCATCCGTCCATCCATCCATCCGTCCATCCGTCTGCCTGTCTGTCTGCTTTTCTTTTCCGTATTTTGGAAGGTCTTTATATGAATAATTATTATATATTAAACGAAATATTGTAAGGTATTTGTTTCTTTAACATTATGCCATCTTAGATAAGCAATTTACGGTCTACTCTATCAGAGATCGAATCCGTGTTGTTAATTTAAAATGCAATAAAAAATATTGCTATTACTCCATGTCACTAACTGAATACGATTTTAGTTGACTTTATGTTGTTCATTTCCTTAACCAGAAGCGCAAGCTTAGTCTGAAATTTTTAGATTTTATTACCATTCAAGTTCAAAAAACTTTAATGTCTAAGGCTGAATTGATGCGCAGGAATTTTCTAAATAATGTAGTAAAATGGGTGAAATTGTAAAACTGCAGTGTACATTAAAAGAGAACCATTTTTTTTACATATATACTCACCACCGTTGCAACTATGTTTGCAACACCAAAATTGGGACTTTGAAGGTCGTATAACCTATACATGTATGTATATATTCTTCAGGAATGTCAAAATCTGAATCGATCTAAGCATGTCCTTCTGTCTGTTTTTGCCATGTCTGTGGTAAACAATCGCACAAGTGATCAACTTTTTATTTTTATCTTTTTTGCTCATAAGAAGAAAAGTGTTTTCAGTTTATAACATAAGTAGTCTTAGCATGTCTTTTGAATGGTTTGGCCAGTTTCCGATATCAACCTCTACGCAAGAATTTGCAATATTTTTGTCACATTTGTTATATTAATTATTGCGATCGGCAGTATATGTACCAAAGTAAATAAACAAACAAGCGAAAGGACGGACACGCGAATAGATAAACAAATTCAAATAGAAATTCGATACAGAATTTGATATTGAACAAGAATCTAATATACTTTATAAAGTGTGTGAAGTGTCAAAATGAATATTTTCTCTAGTGAGTATAAAAACCAGAATTTAAGTTTTATGAAAAATGTCAACGCAAGACGAAGTACAAACATTAAACATGGTCAATAAAATTCAGAATATGAAAACCTGTATTGGTTATTACTGTTTAGGCATAGCAGTTGAAACGTTAACATTTCGTATATAGTTTTTATCTACTTTTAATGAGTATGATTATACTCTACACTACTTGTGGTACAGGGTATATTAAAGTAGTACGATCGTGCGTAACACGTAAAAGGGCTTAAGATAGACCAACTTTTTTTTTAAACCGATTGATTCAGAATCATAATTTCAATTGATTTCAGTCTATCTGTTCGTCTGTCCGTCTAATGTCTGTCCATGTAAATTTGTGTCCATGCAACAGGTCGCAATTTTTAAGATATTTTGATGAAATTCGGTACAGTGACGTGGATGAACGCTATTGAAAATGGTTCGGTTCGGGCCGCTTTTTCGACGTCTCCCCATATAACGCCCTATTCTGAAAAGTAGTTATATGGGAGGAAAATTAAATTTTTAAAATTTCTCGGCAAAAATACTTAAGTAGTAGTATTTCGGCAGTCTAAATTGATACGAAAACTCTGGACAGGCTGGAACAATTTTTAAACCCCCTCTCATGTAACGAAAACTGAAGTTCATACGATGAAAATTATATCTTAATCATAAGTTAACATATACCACATTGGAACCATCTCGGCCTATTTTTTGAATCCTACCCTAATTACGAATTTCACAAACATTTGTTATATACAGAGCAGAAAAGTCTAAGTTTAATATGTGGTGATGGAAATTGAACCATAATATCATTTCTCATAATATTAATTTCGTGCGAAAACGAGCTCTACAATATTTAGACCATCTACGCCTATTTTTGGATCCTGCCTTATCTAAAAATTTAAACTTGTACTACGTAATATTGCGTTTTGGGCCCGCTTCCACATAAATATGCACGTGAAAAATATGTCTTCAAATAGAAATAAGATATCATTTTTGTGTTCTATAATAAAAATAAGAATTGTGGTAGACAATGTGTTGTAGGGCATCCAATGGTCGGCCTTGGACGATCATAATGTTCTTACTGCCTAGTTTATCTATTACTTTGTTATTTTGATTTATTTGCATTGGATATTGTTGAGGGTTCCTGTGAAGTGGTGAAATCTATTTAAAAAACGGTGAAAACATTGTACTGGGACACGATTCACCGTTAAATATCGTACACAACCCTAGAGTTATTCAAATATCGAGTTTTCAAAATAAGGTGTTATATGGGAAGTGGTTGAAAAGTGGGTTCAATCCGAATCATTTTTAATAGCGTTCGTCTTTGAGCCAACAAATTTCGGTGTATCAAAATTGATCAAAATACCTTAAAAATTTTGAAAACAATTCTGAACCGATCGGTATAATAAAAAAGGTGCTTTTAAATGTTTTTCAGGAAACGAGTTTGAGGTAATAATAAATTGAAACCAGGAGAGTCAGAAAATTTCGAAGACGGAAAATTATTATTCAGAAAAATTAGTGTTTGCTTGATTGTTTCGGAAGTCGGAATTTATTTGCTAATTGTGTGAAAAATGAGAAAAAGGGATAGCTTGACGGGTCCAAACGTTATCGCCGATGTCGCAAAGTAAGATTATTTAAATTTAAGGCATAGTGCGTTTGCTAGTCGACTCAATTACATCAGTTGTTGTTGATCGCATCGTCCAGGAATAGTCTCGTTTCGTGAGAGCAATTCATAATGTACTATATCCTGCCATGTTGCGTTTTGCTATCTCCCCTCGAAGAATTTATTTATTAATTGCCTTCAAGATGGGCAAAAGTGATAACTGATAAATTTTAAACACTATGTACTTACCTTTACTTACCTT